ACTAGGCTAAGTTTAGTGCTATAAACTCATTTGCCTGATTAAGTGGCCATTAAATGAGATTTCATAAATCACACTTGTTGATATTTCCCTGTAAACTCCCAAAGGTTAAGCTCTCTGCTAGATAACAGTGTCCATAATAAGGAAGCACTGAATAGCAGCTTCATTAGATTATATTTTTGTTGTTTTCTTTTTAATTTCTTCTCCAACACTGGCATTTTTAAGATGTGACTTTCCCATCCACCTGAGGCTCTGCACAATTTCTGTATTTCCACGTAAGCAGTTGTATTGGTATTCATGTCTTTAAACACTAGTAATATTATTTTATGCACTGTCATCATTTTTCTTATATTGGGACTTTCATCATGTGAATTTTAACTCTCATGGTCATGAAACTATAATCTTATTGAAGGGGTGGATTGAGACCATCTTCTGGGTCTCCTGGAAGACAGTTAGATTTTTTATATTGATGGGTATCTATTTTTTTCTTTTGGAAGACCATCAAAATGGAAGATGGATCAATAAAGATACTTTAGAATACTGTCAAAAATATTTCTGGATCTGCTCCTGTTATTGACCATGTTACCTGTTGTGCATAATGAAAAATCAGTGTTGACTGACTGCTATTATAAGCATTATTTATTGTTGCATCAAAATTGACAAAATGACCTCTTTTGCATCTTTTTTTTCTGTTTTTTGTCTGTACATTTGACAGCTTTGCTGCCTTGTTAAATATATTTGATATACCTTAATTTTTTTTTTATTCATTAATTAATTGTCATCTTACTTTATTTAATGCATTAAAAATTATATTTATCTATATTTTATTGTACAGTTCAACATTTTTGGATGCAAATAAATGCTGATTATTATGAAAGCTTTAATTGCAGTACAAATTGTATGGATGTTGGTATTTTCAAAATCTGAGTTCTTTTCTGATTAAAAAATTTGTTTGCTTGATTATTTATGTATAATTTTTTTATGGTTTTACTGCATACAAATAAATGACAAAAACAGCATGTTTGATGCATATTGTATTGATGATTAAGTAATTGAATGTTTTTCTCTCTAGGGATTTTACCGAGGGGGACGCTTTGTTTTTAGTTTCAAAGTAGGACAAGGCTATCCACATGAACCTCCAAAAGTTAAATGTGAAACAATGGTTTATCATCCTAATATTGATTTAGAAGGAAATGTTTGTCTAAATATCTTAAGGTAGATTGACTTTTTTGTTTTTCCATAAAGTAAATGCTTTCCGTAAAGTAAATGTGATGCATATGTTAGGCTTAATCTGTGTACTGAGATTTCACATAAGATATACTAATCATCATAATAATACTTATATATATAGATATAGATATAGATATAGTCAAGAATGGCAGTGTATTTTGAGAATGTTTTCAGTGTTTTATTGATTTTTCAGGGAAGATTGGAAGCCAGTTCTGACAATAAATTCCATAGTATATGGCTTGCAGTACCTATTCTTGGTAAGAAAAACCTCAGCTTAGTATATTTGGTGAACTCCCAATAACTTGTATAAATTTGTATTGCAAATTAAGGATTTTTCATTGTTGATGTTTTGTTTTGGCTTGAAAAGTTGAATAAAAAAATTGAAAACAAAATCTATTTTAAAACGTACCTATAAAGTACATAATCATAATCTTGTTACAATGTATTAGTTCAGAGTGTCAAGTGTTAATACATCAATCCATACCTATCATTTTGCCTATTATAGGAACCTAATCCTGAGGATCCACTAAATAAAGATGCAGCAGAAGTCTTACAAAACAACAGACGTTTGTTTGAGCAAAACGTTGCCAAATCAATGCGTGGAGGCTATGTAGGATCAACATACTTTGAACGCTGTTTAAAGTAGTACTGCAAGCAAATAACAGACTACAAACCTGGAGATGGTGCTTTTTAAAATCATCAACAGGTTGCCAAACATGGATGCGAAACATAAAGCCTGTATTGACATTACACTTTTTTATATTTACCTTTTACACCATTACAGTGCTTGTGAATGTGAATGAAAAGTGGATATGAGAAGATATCTTCTTCCAGAGTTAACTTGGCATTAAAAGAGGTGAATTGTGGTGCCTGTCTGTCGGACAAAGAAACTCATCACAAAATGCCCCCTATATTTATTTGTGTATCATATGATGCTGAAACCTATAGTTTTGAATGCTTAAGTAGTTATAGAATGAAAAATTATAGATTTATGCTTACTTCACCATTTGCTGCTACAAACCTCAGCTATATCTGGTAAGTAATGGTCAAGGAGGTTCGGAAGTGTTTAAAGAACTGTCTGGTACTTGAACACAGTACAAGGATTGATCATCTTTCATTCATTGCTGCATTAACTCAGTTCCTGTGATTTTAGATTTAGTAAACTGGTGCAATTATCTAAGCTGTCACCATCTTGAACGTACATTTTTCCTAAAGGCGGCAGTGAATTTTGTTTTTGATATTTTTTTTCACTTTATCACCAGTTACACACCTGGTTTATAATTTCTTAGAATATAACCATATTTTCAAAATTATTCAGATTAAGATTAAATCGTGGAAGACATTTCATTACAAATAAATGTTTAAAATCCCTAAGTTTTTTTTCATGCAACAATAACAAAACAGGCAATAGTTTCCTAACAGATGTACATCAACTTCCTTTGAACCCGACAAGGCACTTTTCCAAAACCAGTAGAGGACTCGGCAGTAGAGGACTCGGTTTGCTTGACTGTCCAAATATTTTAAATGTTTAAAGATGCCTAATAGATGGGACTCTTATTGCCAAGATCGACGTTGGCCAATGGCAGTGTTTTAGCACATTTACTCCTCTATGACGGCTACGATTTCAGGTAAAAAATATATTGTGAGCATTTACGTCTGCTTACCTTTTTCCTTTCTTGTTAATAGGATATATCTGTTGAAAATGATTTTGGAGTGGAAATTTCCGCGAAAGAAAAAGAGCAAATGAAATTCTTCAGTTTGCGGTTTCGTGTCATTTATTAGCCTAAATTTTGAAACGAATACATTTGCTGATCAAGATATTAAATTTAACAAACGCACGGGTGGAAAAATATAGAATCAGGAACATACGAATTGAATGCATGCGTGCAAATAATGATTGGGGTGTAGTAAATTGTATAAATATAAGTTTGTTGAAAATGACAACTCTTTACATCAATATATATTTATACATAAATAAGATGTCGAACACCTGCAATGACATATCTCCAATTCGCTACGACAATCCGAAATAACAGGACATAAACGGTCATCACAAAGCTTATACCTTATTTGTCCATTAGTCAAGTGACATTGTAAAAATGACAACCCGATTGAAGTCCACGTAGATGCTGGGAGATTTGCAGCGACCTACAACTCTTGTCTTCACTTATGACCATTCACAGTAACGTGCGACAACGGCGGAAAATCTACCGAATTCGAAGTTGATGTCACTTTTGGCGACGTATTTGAATCGGCTGCAGCTTTTACTGGCTTTGCTTGTTCCTTCTGTTTGCTGTTTTTTGAATTGACGATATCTCCTTTCTTTGGGGTTGTGCCCTTTTTCTTTTCATTTTGGCTTGATCCGGACTTAGTTTTCCGATTTTGATAACGCGTTCGACTCGCAGCTGGAGACATGTCATCTTCCTAAATGTAGAAAATAATGTTGAATGAGTTTAAAAGCGTCTTATAACTTGACGAAAATTGTTTTAAGTTAAAGAAATTGGATGACAGTCTGTTTATCACTTAAACGCGTCTCTTCAGACCGACCATTTAGAGCCTCTAACCATGGCGACACTTTCTTTCAGATCAGGAAGGGAATCTTTTCCCGGCACTGAATAAAAAATTAATTTTAATCTTTTCAATTTTCACACTCAGTGACACCCAATGTACTAGCAGTTTCCTTAATTCCCACAAGCAGTAAAAATTATTTTTTTCTCACCTGAAGATCGACGTCGCTCTCCGTCTCTCCTTCCTGGTACTCCAGGCTATCGTCTGCGATCCCTTCACGCGACGGCTGTAAGAGTAAGACGGCCATTAACCTTAACTACCATTTCAAACATCGCATAAATAAGCTAACACACTTTGAAATTGCATAAATGGGTGCCGTTATTTCTGACTAAAAATCATCAGTTCTGTTGAGAAATATTGCCAATAACGGCGACTGCACTGCCCATCACTGATTTCTCTTTAGGTAATGTAAAGTTGACTACGAACAATACTTCTTATATAAACCGAAATATGTCTTATTTAACACTAATAAAACAACAAAAAAAGACCATGTCGATTATAAATACGAAACCTCATAATCGGGATCTTCCTCCGAAACATAATCATCATCATCATAAAAGTCATCATCATCAGAGTATTCCGAGTCGCTTTCGCTTTCGATATCATCATGCTTTCGTTTCCTTTCTGCGTCGTCACTGGCAGAACAGGGTCTTTGGTCGACTTCTTGAAAATATACAGAAAAGACAAAAAAAACACTGATGTCTTTTGGTAATGTTATGTACACTAATTAAAAAATATAAATATAATAATACTTATTATTATTATTATTATTATTATTATTATTATTATTATTATTATTAATGACGATGCATCATATTATTATTATTAATGACGATGCATCACCCAAAAGTTTGGTGCCATATTTTATATGTAGCGTAACTCACAGAGTAGTCTCGAAAATACACAAATTGCACAAACAGGCTACATTTTTTACCTCCCTCCTCGCTGCCTAACTGGCGGCGAATCCGAACGGGTTTAGAAAGCTCCTTTTTCCCTTGCCCAAACGAGAAGACGGAAAGTACGGCACCAGCCAGTCGTTGATAGAAAGGACGTTTTGGGAGTCGCTTTTTTGGGGAAACTTTCCTCCTTCTCTGGATTTCGGCAAGTTTCTGTGGCGATACGTGTGTAGACGACCATACTTTGCCGTATTCCATTTGATGCAAGAAGTCTTGAATGGCCTTCAGTATCTCGACCTGAAATTGCGATGATAAACTTTAAAAAATAATAAAAGTTCTATAGCAGTTTATATTAGAAAATTTTATTCACACTGGTATTTCTAAAATGAAGACCTAGCAAACCCATGCTAAAATTAGTGTTTTTCTGTTGGTGTAATTTTTTTCTGTTACCATATATGTGCTCATATATATACACAAATCCAACGTCTGACACTTACCGCGCAGCGAAGAGGGTACGTTGCAAAAGTGAGCAAGTGGCTTCGCACGTCTTCACTCTGAAAGAAAGGAATTTAGAAATTGCTATAGTACACTTCCTATTCTCAACAAAACTACAAAATAATAATNCTCTTGTGTCTTCACCGGAAACACAATCACTTCATTCTAGTCACGTGACCGGTCTCTTATTCCAATCCGCCATCATGGTTCGCATGCACGCACCTGGGTGAGAAATGTTTCACACAATATCTTCGAATTTATAAACGTTATTCTCATGATGATTACAATTGTATCAGTATGAACCACTAAGCTATTACATATTATCTGGATGAGTGAGATTGCTGACAATTTGAGACTGTAAAAATGTTGGCTACAACCGCCTCGTTGTCCACATGTTCTACATCTTAATGCTTTGGCATCTCTACTCAAGAAAGTCCCTATATCATACCTGTAACCACTTGTATTGAAGTCTAGTCATGTACACCTCTGATCACTGTTACTATGGGTCATTAGAAAAACAATATTTATATGTGTGATTTATGGATACTTTGAAGGTAATTTGATTGAAATCTTGGTTGAAACTTGAACGAAGAAGACCAGCAAAATTAACCTTGCTTAAAACTGAACCAAAAGACGTGTTAAAATAAGTTTAATGGGATCATATAAATAAAGAAACTTATCCAATAAGATATGTAGTGATTATGTATTATGTAGAATTACCGGAAAACCCCTTCAGGTACTAGTCTGAACTGCCCCCTCATTTTACTTTAAATACAGTGTCCTTTGTGTAAATATGAAAGGTTCAGAAACACTCATTATCTATCAAATTTATATTTAAATATAAATTTGATATTTTTTTTTATTTTAGCAAGGGCATTTCCCAGTCTGCCCTACCATACAGACGCAGTATACCAACAGTAAGTACAATGTACACAAGATCTTAAATTATTCTAGATGCTTAAGGATAATGTTACAATATTATATGGTATAAGTTAAAAAAATATTTCATTGGGTAATAATTCAATATTTTCTTTTCAGTGGCTGAAACTGACCTCTGATGATGTCAAAGAACAAATTTACAAGCTAGCCAAAAAGGGTCTGACACCTTCCCAAATTGGTAAGATCATCATTGAGCTCAGTAAAAAGCAATACATAATGCAAAATACATTAGAATGCAGAAAGTTAATGTTGATTAAAAAGTATGCTTGATAAAGAAAAAAATAATAATATATTAAAGAGCAGATGATGTTCATGTTTGTCTTGTAAGGCCACCGTAGACGAGGTTCAAGGTTTACACATGAAGTCACACTTTTGTTCAATTCTCATTTAACATCAAGGTGTTATCCTGAGGGATTCCCATGGTGTTGCTCAGGTGAGGTTTGTGACTGGGAACAAGATCCTGCGTATCCTGAAGGCCAAGGGTCTGGCCCCTGACATCCCAGAGGACCTGTACCATCTCATCAAGAAGGCTGTGGCCATTAGAAAGCATTTGGAGAGGAACAGGAAGGTAGGGAGGGAGAAGCATAGAAGCAAAATAATAAACAAATTAACGATATGTGCGTATAAACCAATGTTTCCCTTACTTAGCCCATTCAAAAGGTGATGTACCGTTATTTTTTTATATACATGGATTTAACCTTTTTCTGTTTAGCACAGATAAGGTATGAAAACAAACCTGCTTCTCTGGGCAGGTGTGTGTAGTTTATATGTTGTAAAATATTGTCAAGGGACCAATTTGTTCTTTTGTTCTGTTCTCCAATTTAAAAAAAAAATGGCTTGGTGTATTGATAAATGGGTCTACGGCTTTCTTCTAGGACACAGATTCCAAGTTTCGTCTGATTTTGGTGGAAAGCAGAATCCACAGGTTGGCACGCTACTACAAGTCCAAGAAAGTGCTGCCACCTAACTGGAAATAGTAAGTTTCTCTTGAATTGGAATATTTAATTAAATATTTATGAGTATTGTAAAGGCTTGTTCTAAAAGTTGGCCTTTGCTTGCTGTAATTGAAAACAATGAAAATACAAACTTATCCAAATTCATATAAAATTGATTATACCGTCAGCAGTATAATAATTTTATTCAAAATACTTTTTTTTTCTTTTTCAGTGAGTCGGCAACAGCCTCTGCACTGGTAGCATAAATTGGATATTTTATGTAAAGTGACTTTGAATAAGAAAAAAAGAATAAAGTGTACAGACTGAATAAAGCAAGTTGTCAGTTGTCCTTCGAGATCTCAGTTTAAGGAAGCTAATTCAAAAGTACACTTTGTTTCGTACACAAGTAACTTAACGCTTTTTTTTGTGACAAGTTTCATATCTCAAGTTGGAAGTTTTTTTCAAAAAATGTCTCCCTTGTTTAGTTCAGTCAAAGACATATGAGCCTTTGTTATTATTATGGTAAAAAATCTTTTCAATGGGGGTAAAATTGCAAATTTTTTACAGTTGCTGTATTTTTTAAGTCTTGACATTTTAAAATAAAAGCAATCCTATTGAGTGGTAGCAACAAAATTGAAAAGCATAATACCTGTTCTGTTCTATCATTAAAAGCACCACAAATGCTATACAAAGATATAATTTTTACGATTTTTAAGGGACATCTGAAAGTTAGATAATTTTTGCCTATTGAAAAGATGGACATTACCATAGTACTCCTTTTGTGAAATGGGGATTGATCTGTACACCTTGATTTAGCATTTTTTTGGAAAAAAAGGTTAAAATGACTAATTGCTTGATCTTTCAAACATTTAAAAGTATATTAGACTGTTCATGATAAATCGAAACTATCCAACAATGCCTGAAATGTATGTGAAATTTTGGCTTCAGTTTACAATTTTCAATTCCAGAACCACCGAGTTTTTATGTCTGAAGTAATTAAAGAAACATGGGTTTGTAAAACTCAATAAATTTATTAGGGAGTGGCAAATGATCCTTCCAACAAACTTTCAAATTGAAAATAATGTCATATAAAAAAATAAAAATGAATATCTTGATACAGTTCTTATAGTAGCACTAAAATTTACTGTGATGTATTTGAGGCACAACTTTCCATCTGGATTTGCTGCATAACTTGAAATTTCACAAAAATTACTTTAAAATATTCAAGGTGGTAATAGCAATAGCCAATAACTTTTGCTGCATCATTGCATTGAACATTAATAAGGTGCACCAAGTAAGGAATGATTTCATAGTTTGCAGGAACATCTACACTTCTTTCAAAATATTTACAAATGGCACCATATTTTTTCCAGTCATTATAAACCATGGAAACTCACAAAGATGTGAATTCAGATGATTTGAATGAGTAACAAAATCAATGTGACTTGGCAAAGCTTGGAAGTTTCTGGTAAATAAATAAAGCTAAAAAGATAACTTTCTGCCATAAAGCCCGAGCAACAGCCACACGCTTAGCCAGGAGGCACCACAATATGATGAATGTGGTGATTTTTATGAGAAACCAGGAATACTGTAATCTGAAACAAAAAAAAAAAAATTTATGAAATTGCAAGATTTCTGAAAGTGTTTATGCACTAACAAATCAAATAGAGTACTTTATGTTTTGATCATTGGAAGACCAAACAAAAGTAAAAAAAGTTTACAAAACTTCAGAAGCTGCCAGGTTTAAAAGGTGATTGTAAAGCATTATGCTCGCTATATATTGTAATTCTTTTTGTATAACAGTCAATAACAAACCTTTTCATTGCCCTTCTTGCGCCTGGCAAGCCTGACAATTCTTCTTTCAAAAAATACCTCTTCACGCCAAGACAGTAGTTTTCCACATAAGATGGCCAATTGATGCTCTTTACATTAAAATTGAAAACCTTAAAAAATAGTTGTTGAAAGTATTTTAAATCAAATACAAGGAACAACTATTATCAATTATATTTCAGCTCAATATAAAATGTATGGATGCTATATAAATTCTGGAACAGTTTACATAAAACACATAAGACACTTACCAATGAAATATTAACTACAATATAATATACACCAAACAGAAATAAAAGGTACAGCCATTTTACTGTCACATTATAATCCCAGCATCACAAGCTATTGACAACTACTTAATATAAGGATGTATTCTTTTTAAGCACACTCAAATTCCTACCAATAACATACAAGTTACCTCTGGCACTACCTACCGATTGGTCCTCCTTATTCACTTTGTTCCACAACATCACCAAGTTGTCATTTGAAAATTCCCACTGATTCAGGGTAAAATAATCCAAAGATTTCAATGTTTTTTTCTGGCTTTCATTGTATTGTACACTGCTGTAAAAACGAAAAGCAATGATAAGAGATCATGCAATTTTTATAAACAAAAAAACAATATTTACAAAATACAGATCAATGAAACGTTTAAGTTCAGAAAGTGTTTGTGTGCACGAGCATCTTCAATGGAGTACGTATTATCTTAGACTACTGTTGATACTACCCGCTTATCATACAAAATAAATTGATCCATAAGCTTTTTAATCTAGAAAATTAAAGTTTTTTTTACAATAGTTTTCTAGGTTTAAATTTGGTTTCTTTGATTTCTAAAATTGTTCTTAAAAAATCAGATATGTTTAATTTGACTTAATGTCGAATACAAGCATTAAGCAGTTACCATGGTTGTCGTCCCATCAGCAGCCGGAAAAAGTCCAATACATAAGCTCGCAAATCATGATCAATCCAGTGGTTTAGTCTAAACCAGACACTAAATCAGATAAATGGAAAAAAATTTTTAATCTTTAAATACACGAATAAAAAGCATGCAAATGATATTTTCTTCTTGAAGAACCTGGACAAATTAAGACAGTATCTTCAAATACAGCTTCCTACCCTTTTTAAGACAAAGGGTACAATTTTTGTAGTATCAAATAACGGAAGTTTGTGATTTTGCAACACATCAATAACAACAATTTGATAAAAAGACTTAAGATACATATTTTTGGCATCTTTTAAATGAAAGGAAAAGGTGGGATTGAGAGTTGGTATCAAGATAAAATGTATGGTTATTAAAATGTATATGATTTCAAATTAAAATTTCATTTTCTTACCTACTGGTAGTGAATCTTAGGCGTGGCACCCTGAGTGGATGATCTAGAGGGTTCTTCAAGAAGTAATCACGGACATAGCGTTCTGAAAAACATTTAGCACAGAAAATAGCTGGAAATCTTGAACTACAACAAAGGCACATGCACTCTAGGTATGATGCAAGCAAAATGATGATATGTTTGGGATGCTTAAATATTTATTTCTAAATCACAGCACTTCTAATTTCATATACTGTCTAAGATGTATTTTACAAAAAGCAAGTACGCTCTTTGGTAAATTACATTAACTAGACACACAGAGCTGAAGAAGTGTTTATTAACTACCAACCCCAGTGTCCCCATGTAGCCTTGTTCAAGTTCCCAGTTGTGAGGTTATAAACCATGGTGTTGCTTGGCCTGAAAGTAAAAGTCAATTTGTAAAATTAGTGTAATATTCATTATAAATTTTAATATAGAACAACAATCACTGATGGCTGGAACTTTTGCAATCACTTATTCTCCTACTTTCAGTCAAAGTGAAAACAAAGTACGTACCACAATTCCTTATTGTTATCACCTTATAGCTACTCCATATGAGTCATGCTTCTTATATCAATTCAGATCTAATTTAGCTTCGGGAGTTTTAGTCATGAATAAGTTCACTAGTTTATAAAGGTTTGCAAGTTTACTTTTAAAGAGTAAATTTTTGAAATGACACATTTTCTACTGTATGATGCAGTTTGGTTTTCAATGCATACATGTATTACTATAGTCCTACATACACATTATGTACCTGTGCACTGACGTATACCATGCTGAGGCTATCATTAGATTTATTACCAAATCTATGGGAACAACGTCAGCTTTGCCATTCACATTTCCCATCATACTTCTCAAAATACCCTTGCCAACCTTCAAAATAATAAACATATGAATAATTTTAAAAAATGAAATACAACAGGTGCAGTTTTCAGAATTTCGAAAAATTGTGACTTTACACATACCCAGAAAATAAATTGTGCGTGAAACCTACAAGTAATTTCAGTAGGTCAAGAGTTTATCAATACGTGGTAAGAAAATAAAAGTCACCGACTGGATGTATAAAAACTGTCTACATTTTTATGCTTGAATGATAAGAATGACATAACTAAGCATACCTACCTTAGTAAGAAGATTGGTTGGTCCATCAAAATTATCAAGCCACCCCTGAAAGACCATACAGTAATTTATAAGTGTTTGTGAGAAGAAAAATTTCATCTATTTCATCTAGACTCACACAAGCATAATAAGGACTTACGCTAAATGCTGATGGAATCTATTTTTGCTGAGAATAATATTACCCATCACAAAAAAACTGCAGATTAAATCTGAAACGTGATATCTTAAAAAGTACATCAATACATCACATTACTCAATCACTTGTCCTGGCAGATATTACTTTTAATTGTATGACATTTAAAAGTTTAGAACTTTTTTAATGTGAGTGTGAGCAATACAACATACAGGAAAGGGTTCTCTCAGTGAGGCTCCCACTATAGAGGGCCTTATTATGGCAATGGGTAGGCTGGCATACTCCTCCACTAAAAGATACTCCACCATGGCTTTGATATAAGTGTATGTGTTTGGCCGCTTGCCAATCAGGTGAGGAGCCAAAATTTCCATCATTTCAGCATCCATCCATCTAAAAACAATTTTTTTTTCTTTGAACATATTTGAAGGTTTTAAAGTATTCAAGTCATAGGAAGCAAATGTATGTATCAAAACAAAGCAAACTTTAAGACTGCTTACTATTAGATCTGCATGTACATCACAGTTCAGTTTTGCTATTTTAAACTTTGAAAAAATTCAATATATTAATATATCCTCTCCATCTCGACTTATTTCATGCAGTTTTATAATTAAACTTTCAATAAGAAAGGGTTCCATTGTCTAATATTTTTAGAACCGGTGGCTTAATATTAAAAAAATAAATAAACGTGTGTATTTCACACCAAATACCAGAGTTGAGACAGAAATGAATTCCTGCAAGCCTCGAATCCTTCAAACACCCTCTAAATAGGTCCTTGTATGTCTGTTAAAAGGCATCTTTGCAGAAATCAAAGAAAGCTTGAACTTTTTGAAAGATTGATACATACTCTGCTGCCTCCATCAGTTTCTGGGGTTGGAGCGCTGGTGGATATATTGCTTCCTGCACCTGTGATCTGTCACAATTTGCAAAGACAGTGGACACATAAACTAAGGCCTGCAAATACCAGAAGTGCAATTTTCTCAGTCTATGGTTTTCCAAGTATCAATATTTTGTAAAATAACTTTGTACACTGCAGAGGCATTTTGTACAAAAGTCTAGAGGAAGTGTTTAATTTCTAGAAATCACAAAGCATGTGCAATTGAAGTTACTGATAAAGTTTAATTTAGAAAATCTAATAAAAAACGGTAATTCATAAGAAACTCACTTCCAGTTTTGACATCTGTTTACATAGCTCTGCAAGTTTTTTCACACCATGCAAATTCATCAGCACTCCTGATCTGGAAGAAAATCAATAAACACTTCCATGTAGTATCTTATCAGAACAAGATCCTGAACAAGTATTGATGGGATGGTCTGTTGAGAGGTTGCATTTGGTAAAATTAAGATGTTCACAAGTTACTTTCTCAATCTACAGATGTATTGTGGTCATGCAAACAGACACCAATTCAATTTCAGTAAGTATTTGTTTGATAGCAGCCCCCACTAAGTCAAACAGCCAGCACAAAGAGTGGAGGACAATTTCATTGATGAATTACACAAATCTCCACAGAATGACATCTTATCATCAAGGCTTGAAATCAAAGCATATCCCCCGTACACTTCCAGGGAATCAAAATTTTAACAGTTAGACATTTAGAATAGAGTTCATGGATCATAATTCTTGGGAAGGTTTTGTATTTACTCTCCCTTGGTCATTACAAAGTTGAAATTTATAGGAAAATTTTTTTTTCATTCATAAAAGGAAAAAAAAACTTTTTTGCTTCATAAAAGTATAACCCTCTGAGTGTGCCTTGAGATCTTTTCAAACACAAAAAAAAATGTGACAGCCACTGACAAATACCTACTTTAAATGTTCCTCAAAGTTGGCAGTTGCTGCAGCATGAAATACCACAGACACATCAGTAACAAGTCTGGTCATATCTGACTGGCTCATGCCCAGGTGTGGCTCTAACATATTTCCATTCACTGGAATGACTTTGGTGCGGAACTCTGGACGCTCTTTTCTCAACTTGTCAAATAGCTGAAAGTATCACAGGTAGTAATTTTTACATTTAAGTAAGACTGTCTGGAGGTCTTGACAGTGAAGGAGGTCTACTTTTTCAAGGAGTGTACGAATCATATGGATCTCAGAAGGAGTAATAATAGTTTAATTTCCAAAACTATATGCACATGCACAGCTAGGTGCAAAAGTATAAGGATTTAATTGTTTTCATAATACTGTTACTTACACAATTCCTTATAATGTTATCCAATTTTTCAACAGACTCTGTATCTTTCTTTTTCATTTAATTTCAATACATGGGTAGGTACATAAGAAAACAAAAATCAATAGAGCATTTTTACAAAACAAGTGCAAATCACATACTTTGGAACTGAAGACATCTTCAAGTCTCTGCCTCACATCCTGGTTATTCTTTGGTCTGATAAGTACGTAAATTGCCTTTATGTCAGAACAACTTCTCAGCAGCTTCTCGACCAGAACCCTGCCCATAAACCCTGTAAAGCCAATGACAAATATGCTGCATCCAGCATAAAAATCTGCAATGGCAGCCACCATTTTGCTGTACCAGGTGTTCTATATACTGCGTATTCTGGAACTTGGAAGGGTTTCTTAACTGCGACTGCAGAGCCTAAAAATAGAATGGATCAAACAGTTAAAACTTCAAAACAAACATATTCTAGTATCAATGGCTGCATGTGGCTAGGTTGAGAGAGAAGCTTGTGATTAAAAAATAATTCTTCCACTAGCTGAATTTGTAAAATGGGCCCATGCAGTGCCCAATGCCTGGAAACTCAGTTAACATAATTTCCCTATTTACAATTCAAGTTCAACCTCTGAATAAGATTTGCATTTAATTTCAACCTCTGGCTAAGATGAAATAATATCTTGAAATACATAAGTTTATGGACACCATGCAGAGTACAGAGGTACATGTTTGGGTGTACTCTAGTCACGAGGGGCAAACAGCCTACAGTCACGTATCTATTTTGCACCCATCATGCGCCCAAGTCTCGATCTCTCACACTCGCGCACCCACCACGCACGACAGTAATTACACCTGCCTTACCTGCTGCAATAGCTACATGTAAGTACAACACATACAGGCATCCCTCAGATCATATACCGCTAAGTATTTACTAGTATGACTAGTCCAGTATATCGATCCTGTAACCAAAGTCAGAACTACGTCTGTAAGTGTAACAGCCCAATGCATAGCCAAGTCGATGTCATGATATATTATCAAGCCCTACTGTTTACCTTCCCAGTGGAGCGCCCTCTTGAATGTTATCTTTCCCTATTAAACACAGACAAGTTTGCGACAAACTGGAAAACAAAGTGTGACAACCGTTTCTTAGTTCACCTGCAGCGCTGCTGCAAAGGTCGACATTACTTTGGCATAAGGGGTACTAATCACAATGGTTGAGAAGCTCAACAATCGCAATTTCTTTCTGAAGCCGCTTTTTAGCCTACTGCTGTGCTAACAGCTCTTTCCACGTCGACAAAATTTTTTCGAAATTCTCAAATTTCGTTGTCATTTTCTTCTATCTTGTTTTTCTATTTCATTAAAAACTGTGTTTATATTGGGTTTTAAGAAATGAATGAAACTCTTCTTTTGTTCATAGTGTGCGTTTAGTGTGAAGTGGGGATCGACTCAAGATTGTTAAAAAAAAAACGGTAAATTAAAACAAAAGATGCATTAGACTTGTACACGAATTTAAAGTTGACTATCAAATATTGTCAAACCTTCAGCTTTGAAGATGGTTCGTTCTCCAAGCCTAGTCTAAGCCCCATGAAATTAAAAAAATTGATTACACCTATATGTTTTCTGCTCAATTCTGTCCATTGATTCTGACATACCTACAACATGCTTACTTCCAAGCAAGTAAATCTAATTAGTTTACCTGTGGTACTCATCTAGACCCTGGCTGAAGGAAGATAAAGGGACTTCTGAGGAACTCGAAGAAAGGAAAAGACTAAACACTTTTTATTAGAGAAAGCGGCTATTTCTGCCTTTTTTAAATTTTTATTTGTTAGTAATTTTGTGCTTTATTTCTTTTCAGTTTGTTAAAGAGATAGGAGTAGCACTGTAGTCATATCTCCATTAATGTCAGTCAATAATAATAATAATAATATAAGAAAAGCATGCAGTCTCAAAGAATACAGCCATTTACAAATGTCTCTCAGTAAAATACTGAGGTGTAACAAGTATAATACTTAATTCAATATATTCAACAAGAAGTAAATAGCAAATTGTCAATCATTGCAACTTATCATTTTTCTGGAATGAGACCCAATACATACTTTTTAAAGACACAAGTAATATTTCCATGAAAACAAAAAAGCTATGATACAAGCTTGTTCATACAAGGTTATACAAATAATAACATATCACAGTGTGTATACTTGTGCTGATTCTGGAATTGCTTCATAATAATTTTTAAAGAAACCAGACAGATTCACATTACCCAGTAATAATACAAACATTGATCTTTTAGATCTTGATCTGAACAAAATTGCCACCTTCAATACATTATTCTTCATTAATACATAGCTGAATGAAAATATTATTCAAGGTCAATACTGAGAAGTATTTAAAATATTATACAATGGCATTACTGTACTCAATTTCTACCCACTTGAGATAAAAACTTGAAAATTCATAAACAAAATCAAGAATGCTGTCCTAAACCCTGGTTCAATTTTAGCAACCTATTACAGTAACTGCAGTATAACCAGCTTTTTTCCCTTCAAACCATTCATTCTTCACCATACCCATTCCATACTAATTTCCTTGCAAAACAATAAATATAAATGAACTGTGTCTGGAAGACTGGACATACAACAGTCACCAACTGAGATTAGAAAGTACAATGTACTTAAGAAATATATACAAAAATGAAATCTAATATCACAAGTTTGGGGTATAGTGACTTCAATGTATTATACTTATAGATGTTATCACATGTGCATATATATACAAACAGGTCCTAACTATTACCAAACAACAGGTCACCAAGGTACAAGCTGATAAACCATAATTAAATCCATCCATATAGATACAGATGCTAACATCCATATAGATCCTAACATCTGAATATGTAACTTATGATTCATAACATACTTAATGAACAAAAAGTCATTTATACACATACATATACATCTACTGTTTAGTTTGGCATGCCTTTCGTATGAAGGGAAAAATATACTTCATTATATTTCAATCAATATTTAATCAAAATACATTATAAAATATCTTGCTATATTTAAATGACGTAAGATGTAAATATCTCAAAAACAACAGAGAAAGGGAAGATAGAGCTAGTGTTATCATACTTTCTGTGTAAGTGAAGTTTTTCTGTAAACAGTCTTGTATCAAATAATGTTTACTATTCCAAGATGTAAGTTTATTTTTTGATAATATAAAGGAGCATAAAAAGCCTATTAATAGCATTCAATAACAACTTCTAAAAAAGACAATTCTGATTAGAATAATAAGTTCTATCCTAAAACAACCTGTTTTTACCTGAGCATATTTGTTAGTTATTGGGTTTTATAAAAAAACAACTAACAGCATACAAATCACTGGAAACCAAATATCTGACCAAAAAAATTATATATCTGTCATTCTTTTTGGTAGAGTAAATTTTTACAGTAAGTATGACCTAACAATTTGCTCTATAATAACAGCAATCAAACTACAATAACAATTTAGAAAATAACAGGTAACTAATGAATCTATACAAATCAATTTGTCTAGTATTAATTTGGAATTTTTGATAAATTTTACCAAAAACGTCGTCTTTGATTATCTTGTGCAAATTGTGGTCCTGAGTAACTTTTTTGCTGAGGTGGTCTTTGTCTTAAATATGCTCCATTTTGTGGATTTTTGGCACCAAATTGTCCAAATGACTAAAAATTAAATGTAAAAAAAGCTATGATTAAGATATTGCACCCACATAAATTATTATATCATCCATTTTTGAGCAAATATATAAATATTACTTTTGCATTTACATGTTAACCAAGGGGCTTGAAAATGAAATCATAATTAGCAAGTGGAACCAGTTGTTTTTAAATTTGTTGAAGAACAACACTTAAAAGTAAGCTAAGAACAATATGGTCTTTCAATCAAAATATTCATTCTTACAAAATACTTGTCTTACCCACTGGCCACTAGTGTATGGGAGATTCTGTCGCCCTGTGTATACAAAACCTGGAGTTTTCAAGTTGGCTACCACTGTAATGTAACAAAAACTTTTATTTAAACATGAAGATGACATCCAGTGTCTGCACAAATCCAAGCCTTCTTCATTAATAACAATTCTACCTCAATCACAATACATGCTCTTTACTCACTTCATTGCAATGTTGCAAACACACTTGGAAACTACAAAATCTTTGTGTAAGAAAGGAAAAAGAAAGCAAAGTGATGTATAAATTTCTCATTTCTTAAAAAATTGTTTTAATATTACGCTCCATTTCATAAAATGAATTGAATAAGAAAGAAAGACACTTCAATTTTAAACTATTCAACTGTTTAAATGAATGGGATTATACCTGGAAAATAGTTTCTCACTTACTTTGTTGCTTCCACTCCATTTTCTTTTTCTCTAGCTCACTTAGAGATTTCAAGCATTCAATGTATGTGCTTTTACATGTATAGTCACCACATGGGACAGGGTATCTTGAATCCTAAATCAGATATAGAGTAGACATAATTCCATAAACATTAGAAAATCAACCATGCTCCCTATATGCACTAAAAGGTGTGAAGAAAAAAGTCACCTTGGTGAATGGAATAGCTTCAATGAATAAGTAAAGTTACAAAACAGAGAAAAGAGAGAGAGGGAGAGAGAGAGAATGCCTTATATCCTCAGTTTATTTTTCAAAATGCAGGGGGAGATAAGTGAATGATTGGTTCTCTTTGGGATTTACTTATAGAAGGTGGTACTTACTTTGCATGGACCTTCATAGTCACTTCCTACACAATGGGATACATAGGGGAAGTTATACTGGTTTCTGAAAAAGGTAAAAATAGCACACTCAGTTTAAATTCTGGGAAGACATTACTTTTCTGCTATCACATACACATTTTTTTATTTTCCTTTATGCCATATTTTCCAAAACAATTTTAAATCTGTTAAAACTGATTTAACAGTTTTTACTTATTCAAAAACCAGTATGCTTACATTCCATGCTGTTTACAATGTCCAAAATCATTGATAGTTCTCTCATAATTCATCAGCATTGCCATCACCTTGAAAAAAACTCTAAACTCTGTAAAATTCATATGCTAAACATCTACTATTCTTTTCTATTACTATTCTATCAATGGTTGTATTCAAAGTCATTCAAAAATAATACCAGACAAAACCAGACCAAGCAGTTATTTGAGCTTCCCACCAAAAATTAACATATGATTGTGTATTTTTAATTTACAGGAGTTTTAATGAAAGTATAATACGTTATAACTTCATGTTGTGTGTACAGTTTCTTCATATAACTTATCAGTGAGAGATCTGCATTGAGAACTTGTAAATGAGACCTCCAAATTCAGTAACTTTACCTGGTATGCAGCAGGCACCATCTTGTTGAAAGTGAAGTCTTTGGTGTCATAATCTATATATTCCAGTCTACCACTGCGAAACACTATGAAGGTGAAAAAAAAATTAATTATATTGGATATATACAACTGTAAAAACTACAGACTGCTACACAAATGTAATGGTATTTTTTTCTTTAAGTTTATAAACTGTATGAATGTTCACTACTTTTGGTATTCAGATACTGTTACCGACAAAAAAATGAAAAGTTAAACTGAACTGACCAATATTCCATGGAGCCATATCTTCATAGAAGGGCAGTGTCAGGAACAGATCATAAAACATGGTTTTTATGGGCTCCAGTAATCCCATTCTCAGAAGGGCAATTAAAGATATAGCTGAAATAAAAAATATCATAATCGTGAAAAGAGTATCTAGGCTCAGTTAAATTACAGTTAAACAACTGACATTTAGAACTTAATATCCTAAACACATTCATAAACTACAAGAAATAAATATTTACCATAAATTCATGTAATAAGGTACATACCATGAACATCCCCATATGGAATCTTGAATCCATCCCCTTTCCTGATAAGGTATACCTCATAAGTGGACTTACTATGTGCCAGGCAGTGGAGGGTATACTTTCTATCGTGGCCATCTAGCTGGTAGTCAAAATGATGATTAACCTGGAATTCAAAATAAAAAAGGGATCAATTCATAACAAAAATCTGATTGCTGATATGCTTGATTTCAACATTTTAAAATAGTACAAGTTTATAAATTTTTACAAATATTATCTTTATATGTAAACAGTGTTTTTTAATTTGATCTTTAAGCAATTTGAGGCATTTACAGTAGTTTTTCCTAACACAGTTCACAAATGCTTCAACCAAGCCAAGGGTTGGTACCTTCACAGGTGCCACTCAAATGTCATCTGATATTAATTCACCATCTTTATTAATAGTAAAATAAAACTCACTGTGACAGTGAGGTTCCTGACATCTACACGGACCATTTTCCATGGGAAGGATGCAGACTGCATAAATGGTGGTTGAAGAAGCTCAGCACTTATACTGATGTTCACATCTGCTTCTGCGCTCTGATACAAAGTAATAATGACAATTTTATCAATTTTAAATAATATATGGAACCAAAATGATTTGCAGATGCATAGTATCAATATGGCTTTTACACAGTATCCTTGAACTGATGATCAACAATGAAAGTATGGTAATCATATTTCATTCATCTGTTTATTTAGCAAAGGATTTGTGATGGGTTGTGATATACATCATAAAGTTACTCAAGACAACTTCTATGCAAATAAACGATAAAACAGAATCTTTTTGAATAAAGTTATGTACCTCTCCCAGCATCTTTAGTTCAGCATTTTCAAATACTGGGGCTGGATGGTGCTTCAGGTAGTAAATGTCCTGCAGAGTCAAAATATACCAAGTAATCAGGGATTTATAATTACAGTTTTTTTTTTTTAAAACATAAGTCTTATTTATATGCACACTCATCCAAAAAAGTTAAGAAACATTGTTATTTTCAATGATTATAAAACAACCATATGAGCTAAGATAAATATTTTAATTAAATATTGATGGATGATGCACGCACCATTCATTACTTTTTGAAGTTTTGCCAGAAAAGGAATTCTGTGGGAATTACAGCAACATTTATTTATGTTGGGTCAAATTTCATTTTCAAAAAACATGCAAATGGAGTGACAAAGTTTGAAGTTTGCAACATTACCAAGTCTAGACAATAAACAGTGAAAATCTTTATCTTAGGTATACAGTATGTAGGATACAGTTAAAATAAAGTTTTAAGGTTGTTGAGCCTCTACTGTTTATTGTCAAGACTTGCTCAAACTTTGTCATGGAAATCAATAAAGATTTTTACTGTCATGGAAATCTTATATCACAGTAATTACTGTTGTGTAATTTAATTATGTAAAAATAACCACAAGACTTCCATGTGTGCACTAGGACCTCTAGGACTCCCTATGCATATCTGGCAAGACCATTGCTACAATTAACCAACCTTTCTATCTAAAGTCCCGTTTCCCCTCAGTGGTCGACCAGTAAAAGACTCTGGGAAGAATGTTGCAAATGCCAAAGACAGCATCTAGAAATTATCAAGAAAAAAAATGCCAAGAATTTTTTTTCTGTTTTAAATACAGGATCATCCAAATTTATAATGTTCAGGAGAATATGATGTTTGCAAGCAGTTATATGTTTCAACATTATTGCACTAAACTTAATTATCTAAATGTGAATTGTTCATTCCAAAAGAAAAAAAATGTTAAGAAACAATGATGAAAAGAACATAGCATATCAACTCTATTTCATGAAACACTATAATATATTATGAAACAACATTTTTCTATTTTTTTTTCCAAAAGCAACATGATGACCTACCTCTGCTGATGGTAACTGAAAGAAAGAAGTGACTCCATTTGCAATCATCTGCCCAACCATCAGGTTGAATTCATCATCGCCCATGGTCATAACAGAGTCCAGAAAAGCCTGAACACCTGCATGCAAAACATAGGTTTTTTTTAATATGCATGGTATTTGTATTGCATCAAGCGTCTTTTCTTCTTTCTTTTGTGTAATGATAATACAGATTAAAATTTTGAAATGGTAAAGACAAAAAAACTAAAAGGATCTATAATGAAATTACACCATCCTGGAAACAAAAATCATTTGCAATCTATTACTAAAAACTGAAGTATAGCCTTAATAAGAAAACACATTCAATGTGAATAAGGTCACCTACCAAAGTACTGGTATCTCAAAAAATCAGGACTCTGCAGTAATTTGGTAGTGAAATCCTGGTCCACAGCAAGGCTGGTTATAACAATATTGGTGACATTCATCTTCCATGTTTCCTGATACAGTTTCTCTGCCTCCTCAAGTTCACTGTGCAGGGATATGAAGGTGCTGTTTTTGTAATGTTTAGCAAGGAGTTTGATCATCTCTCCTGAAAAATTCACAAAATGGATTTTTAAATTAATACCTCAAATTGAACAAAAATGCTGAGAAAAGATGACATGCAGCTATAAATGAGCTACAAATACAATCCAATCAGAGCCTGCAGCTTGACATCACTCGCTCCACTGACCTATGAACATGAATGTGACCAGTTTGCAGCAAAAGCAGTCTATCTATAGCCTTAATAATTGGCTAGCATGGTCTCCACATGTTAGAGAGCTTATCGTTGAACTTTTAGGCTAGAAGTGGCATATAAGAGCCATTTTCAAACATAGATTTTGTGCTAAATGTTTTGTTAAATCGCAGTTCTATGGAAAGGAGTTGACAGGGACCAAAAAACACACCTTACTTCTGGGAATGAATATACTTTAGCATGCATTTTCCGGGCCGATTTTGGTCATTTTGGTTGACTATTCTTGCTTAAAATCTACGAGTTAAGATACCAAAAACACATATTTTCAATTTTTTCTCAGTAGTTTCTTACCCTCCATGCTTTTATATTCCATAAATGAAAAAGGCTGGGTGTAAATCTCATTTCCAAGTACACTTACAGCTGCCTGGAAAAATAAAAACTTTGTTTAATTCGTGTGCATTTGTAGCACTGAAATTAGTCAGGATGCCAATATATATCATTTCCATTTCAAAAGAGATGAAAATAAAGGGTCCCACCACAACTCAAGACAACTTAAATTTGTGTAATTAAAAACCCAAAAACTGAAACAGATGTAGTACAAGCTAAAAGCTCTTTCTTAATGCATATCATTAAAACAGACGTCCCTGTAACTTCTTTAAGATTAAAACATATTACATGTATTTGCTGACATATACATACACATCATATCTTTCCCAAATTACTATGTTATAAGTCATTTCAAAAAAGCTCTCATTCCAATTCCATTGCAAGGTTTAAATAATCAATACAAACACACAAAAAACGAAAAAAGAAAAAAATTCAATTAACATGCTATCTTCACAAAATTAACATTTTAGTACACATTCCATGCTACACTGCTTGATTATTTGCATTACTGTACCTGACTTGCTATCAATCTAGACAACTCAGTGGAAGACTGAAGAAAACGGCGTGTACTGTCTGCAGCATGGTATACCAGGGTGGTGTTGTACCATACCAAGTGATGGGGACACATGTCTGGGTAGACTGGCAGGGACAGGTACTCCCTCAGCAGGTTCTTCCTGAAAGTGTATTGAAATCATAAAAAAAGTCAGTATGTTTACCCACTGCAACATGCTGTTTTTAAACATGTAATTCTCACCAACAAATCCTGTGAAAACAAGTTATAGTAGTACTATAATAAATCATAATTTCCCATAATTTTATAAATGCAGAATTCACTCAATGATATTTCCCCTTTTTATGTCTCAATTTACAATAATATCAATTCTCTAAGCTTAAAATATGTTTTCAAAGGAAATCAAAATGCAGCTTCTCTNCAATTAATTGGAATTTACACCTGGTGCAAGCACAAGACTAAGATTTGAATTTTATAAAGCACAAAAATATCTACAACAGTCAATGCCAAAAAATTTAAGCCTGCTGGCCCTACAGAAAACCAAAGTCTAAGAATCTGCAGACCTAAAGTAGAAATATGGTAGCCATGGCATAGCTGAACAAATTTACAACACTTTGCAGCTTCAACTTTAAAAGTATTTGGCTTGGGACTGACAATAACATCACAAACTGCTGCAAGGGCATAGTAGGAATAGAAAAACTGCCAGCAAAAAAATGTAAATTAGTTCCATGTACCCTGCAAAAACATGGGAGGAAGTAAATGATGTGTTTTTCTTCATTTCCTGAGGCCAACCAGTGACACTATCTTTTATTGCATCCTGAGACTTACTGTGGGACTAATCTTAAAACAACAAGATAAGTGTACACATTAGCTGCAAGTCACTTTTTTTTCTCAAATGTTAATACTCACTGTTCTCTGCATATGTCCTAGAGTTATTTTAACCAGTTTGGTGGCCAATGTGTACCCTCTAAGAATATCAACGTCATCTACCAAGCTGACTTCAGCTTCATTCTCCAACCCATGCAGTTTCAAAGTTTCAAATATCATACCCTATGATAAGCAGGAAAAAGAAGCATCAGTGCATTCAAAATATTACATCTAATACTGAAATTGGGGATAAGTAAAGCATAATTGAAATGGGATTTAATATTGTGTCTATTTTAATGATGGGCACTGTAACAGTGAATGATAAAAAAGGAGAAAAATCATATCCCCCCCCAAAGTTTCCCTATTCATGATCAAAGCTAAGACACTTCTCAACTCCCTTTTTTACACAATATAGCAAGAGGATTATATTTCCACCCTGCCATTTTACACTGAGAAGAGAAAAATATCTACCCACAAAAGAAAGTTAAAAAAAAAAACTATAAAACTCCCTATCCCTCACATTAACCTTTACCTTGAAAACTGCATGGGTTTGCTCTGGACCTGTGCTGTTCCCAAGTAAAAGGTCAGCCATAACCAGCTGCTCAGGAGAAGGGACTTCAAGGTAGGTAGTGTGAGCCATGGTCAGCAAGTGACCGAGGTAGTACAGGAAACCTTGACCAAGAGATGTTAGATGATGAAAAGTCTCCAAGCCCAAAATCTGGAACATAATATGGTATATATCTATACATGTAAACAATAAGGTAAATATGAACACAGCTATGATTTTCTTCTTGTTATCAAAATATCATAGATTATAACATATTTTTGTACAGAGTAAATTTTAGAAGTTTGAAAAAACATATATTACATCCTAAAGTTTTATTAATGAAAAATATCCCTTTTTCCACATCTGAAAATTCAGTGTTCTAAAGCAATGTGTATTATTCAGGTCAACAGGTCAAACTTTTAGAGGTGCCTTCAATTATTAATTTATCAATTTATTTGTGACAAGTACCTGGCATGTTGAAAAAACAATGAAACAAAGAGATGTAATGAGCTGACTCAATCATACCTGAATCTGAAATATCTCTGGCATCTTGACAATTTTATCCACAGTACCAGGACTCAAGTTATTCACCAAGAGAATGAAATTCTTAGCACCCAAGCTTGTTATCATTTTCCTGAAAATTTAGTTTTTTCAGTGCATGAAGTCATTTAAACTGGAGTAAAATTACACAAAAAGTGTAATAGGTGTTTTCCTTCTCATATTTTTATTCATGTTGTTAGCATCTGCTTTATTCATGATTTTCTAAATCTAGAAGTCATCAATAACTTTTTTTTTACCTTTGTGGATACCATTCATTTAATATTTTCTTACCAAATTGCCATCTACATGTATCAGTTTGTTTCTTACCTAAGTCCTGGCATATGTCTGGCACTGCTTGTGTCAAGTACAGAGAGGACAGTAGAGTTGGGATACCTGTGAGCAATCTTAGCTCCCAGTAACACCTGCTGGTTACCACCTAGGGTACAAACAACACAGGTCTATAGAAACCAATAGTTTCAATATTGTTTTGATGGAAAAATCTAATTTACATTAAGATAAGAAATCTCATTTTTACAGATCTCAAAAGTCTAGAATCATAAGATGTAAGCTTAAAGCTTTTGTATAAAAGAATCCAACACCACTGACGGCGCACTTGAGATGTCCGTGACATTAATATATCATATGCAAGTTACAAGTTAACATTGTCCTCATGGTTCTGGACCATTGAAGCTGCTTTAAAAATATAATTGGCTACACTACATTGTCACTTTTCATACCATAGGTCAAAACACTGAAGAAGTTTCTCTCTTTCCCATTCAGAGCAGCGATGTCATTCTTGATCAGTTTCCACTCAGAGTCGTACACACTCTCCTCCTTATGTTTTGGTCCAAATGTGTGTTCCATTGGCTGGTGTTTCTCCCTCACTGTTCTTGCTGGTTCTCTTAATTCTGGTTTTACAGAAGTCACTGGAGACTATTAAAGAACAGTTATCACAATAAAAAAGTACTTTTCCAAAAATACTGGGACTATATTCACTGTATGTATGCATGTCTTACATTGTACATGCTTGTCTACAACTGTATCTCACAAACATCATCTAGATTTCTTACATACATTCTTTACAACAGTGACTGCTATCATTCACTAAATCATAAGTGAAGATATAAAATAACCACAAAATTTTCTACTTTTAACATATGGGTCTTACATAAAATTTCTAAGAAGTTGTGTGAGGTATCCAAACACAAATCCTCTGCTACACACTAATGCATGCACACACATGGAGTCATTTCCATAGCTTCCACTCTGAAGAGGCAGTCAATCAAAGATTCTGACCAAAACAGATTTCATGCCCTGGTCAGCATAATTAACTAGAGGCATTCACGTTTGCAGCTTTGCTTCTCTCCTACCTTAAAATCATACTCATCATTTAAAGCTTCTTCTTCCTCCTCCATCTCTTCAGCCACCACCTCCTCCTCCTCTTCCTGTAGCATAGCAAGCCAGCTTTAGCAACATGCAGTGTGATTCAGCAGTAATTGGGAAGCACTCAACAAAGCCATGGGGATTGATGGTGTTACAAAAGCTTTCTTTAATTTATAACTTTCATCACACAGCTCATTCTCTAAATCTCTGTTTCATGTGGAGGTTAATTTGGCAATTGATACTATGAGGGCAATCATTAGATAAAGACTGCTTTATGAAGCAAAGCAAAGAACATTAAGCAATGAGCTATCAATAGCAATTAGCACATATCAATGAAATATTTTGGCCTATTTCTGCATGAAAATTTGCAGCCAGGATTTACATGTCTTGCTGTAGTATTCATCATGTGAAAAACATTGCATCAAAACCAATCTAAATTCAACTGGCAAAGCCTTTCTAGCCATTTTCACCCTTAATCATTATGATATTCATTAAAGGGGACAGATGCAATCAAAAACTTGTTGGGTAAAATCAAACACAAAATTGAAACTTTTTTCAAAGATTCAGTCTTCTACAATTATTACACCTGATGCAATAATGCACACAGCATCAATTCTTCTATTACCTCATTATTTCCCAGCTCTGACTTCTGGGCTGCAGCTGCTTGCTGGTCAGTACTATCTGAAAATAAAAAAAAAACCTTGTTCATTTGACCAATTCTTAAAAACACAGGAATGACAGTAAATTGTTTTTAAACAAGGCAGCAAAGCTGTCAAANTCTGTAAGTTTCAAACAAAAAGGAAAAACAGTTTTCCACTTATCGTGTTATCGGTAAAAGTGCACGGCGACGGCGACGACGGCAACGACGGCAACGACGGCGACGACAGACGCAGATGACGGCTATATGTACAGACACATCTGTGTCTGTACATAAAAAAGGTATAGATACAATGAAGGTGTTATGAAGAGAATGCATTTTGATGCTCATCACATAAAATTCAATTCACTCAAAACCATCTGTAATAAAACAACTAAAACATTCAATTTCAGTAATGAAAGCAAATAACAACCTTTTCTAATTCCATTTAAAGAGACCAAGGGCTCTTTTGAAGACAAGGACGATGGTGTTGCTGTCTTAGATGCCATTTTCTTCACTGGGCCTTGGGTGGAGGTCACTTTTTTGCTTTCAATTTGATCATGGTCATTGTCAATCTTTGTTCTTTGGGCTTAAGGTATGGAAATACAGAAACTAACCATAGTTGTACAAAAAACACTGAGGAACAAGCAAGTGATATACATGAACAATGTGAGTGACAAAATCGATACTGACACTACTTTTGCACCATTAGAAAATAATATTTTTATACAAGTAACTTTTGTATTATTTCAGTCACTTTATACATATAAGGCTCAAACAATAAAATTATTTATAAACAGTTAATGTCACTCTTCTTCACATTATCATTTTACCTTTATATCTATTCATGAGAGTTTTCTTAAAGTCTTCCTTGTATTTGTCTAGTTTTTCCCTAACACTTAAGGATAGGCCTTGTTGGGCATCATTCTGAAGTAGCCTCCTCTGCAATAAACAATAACAAAAGAATACATCAATTAACTTGTATTTTATGGAGTTTTGCTTCCAGCAGCTAACAATCACTTAATTATAATGAAAATAAAATTTGAAGTAAAAATTCTTTCGAGCTATCATACTTGTAATTTTTTATTTCAACTCCTGATCATGAGTGAACACAAATATCTGACCTTAAACTCTGAGAATTTACCTCCATTAAACATAATGAATTAAAAAAAAACTACTCACCATACCATCTTTCCTTTTCTCTATCTGACCACCTTGTTCCCTGGGCTTAAACACCACTGGCTGCTGTTCAATCTTTCCAACAGGACCCAAATGATCAGCACCATTTTGTACCAGATCATTTTTTAAATAATCAGCCTGTCTACTGTCCTGTTGTTCCACACCCTGATATTTATTTCTATAAATTTTCCTGGCATTTCCATGGATTCGTTTTGGTACTGGTTTTGGAATTTGATGTTGCTCTGCAAGAGGTACTGGTTCGTTATTTAAAGAATCAAATTCACGGATTACACTTTTAAGTGTTGTTGTTGTGCCTCCATGCTGTATGCTTCTCAAATTTTGAACATATTTGGGACTGCTCACTTTCTGATGAATTATGTTCTTTTCTAATTCAGGCAACTGTCCTTCAGTTTCTATTGGTTTCTTTGGCTGAGCAATGACTGGATTCCCTGAATTGGTAAGAAGTATTCATATGAACAAAGATTCAAGTTACAACAAGACACCTTACACAACTGTAAAGACAGATGAAGGTGTGCAAGTGCATGTAGGTTCCAACATTTAGTCCAACATCATAATTAATTTATACAATGCAATAAGCATAATTCTCAGTACTTTACCTTCCATTCCCTTAACTCCACCCAATGATCCCATGGCTAGTCTTAGTTCCTTTTCATCCTTTGTTAAGGCAGGGTCTATATTCCTGGACAGGGATTCTTTACCTTGGCTTTGAACTTTGCCTTGAACTTGACCTTGAACTGCTGGAGGGTCAAGGCCAACCTTATCCTCCTCCCTGCGCCATGTTTTGTCTAGCCTGACTAACACTGGGTCTTGCTGTGGCAAGGGTGGATTGCCTTCACGGTCCCACTGTTTATTAAGCCTTTGTACTTGTTCTTGGTCTTTCTCAGCAGCTTCCTTTACATCATTGTTCAACCTGTTCCATCTTTCTGCTACACTATCCACCTGCAAGAATGGAATCAATTCATTCTTAAATGAAACTGCAAAATTTACATAATAGAAATCTGTATATTTTATATAGCAGTGCATCACAGAAAATGCCAAGGTCAGTTTTGCTTCTTAAAATTAATTAAAAATTTTCATTGGTTTACTACTTTTTATATCAAGCTTAAAAAGTCACTTAAATCATTTCATGAAGCTACTCCTTAAACACATCTGCCATTCCTGTTAGTTTACCTGCTCATAGGGTTGTTGCACCCTTGCTCCCCTGTCCTCCTGAGGCTGCTTCTGGTTGAAATTGTGAGGAGAAATCTGCCCTGCTTTGGCACTGTGTAAACCCTAGTGAAGATATCGAAGGACTGGGCACTCAGTACCCTTCATGATGTATTTCAAACTAGTGAGATTTGGTGTATTTGCATAAAAAATTTTAAATAAACAAAATCACTATTTTTTTCTTTTTCAAAAATTGAAAATATTAATGATCACTTAGACACATTGTTATGTGTTCCACCGAGGGCAAAAGAAAAGTACACTAATATTTGGAATAACAGAAACAATGATCACGGACATTCCAACACATATAATGTCATGAAAACATTAAAAAATAAAAGTATTATTATAAAAACATTAAAGTATTTTTTATTATTATTATTTTACCACACATACCTTTTCATGTGGCTCTGTACCAGTCAATGAGGGGTCCAAGTCTACTAATTTCTTCACTAAAGCATGCATCTGAGGGTTCTCCTCACAGCTCCACATATGTGAATCAATGCCAGTTTTTACCTGGATCACAAAATTATATTCATTGAACCACCAGCAAGGGAATGCATCACAGTAAAATAACCTTAACTCCCTTAACTTTTTTTACAAGACTGCTATCACTTAAGATTATGGTTTTTCCATAATAAAGACCTTATTTTTTTATGACAATATTATTACACTATTATGAAAAAGACAAATAAACATATAGCTCATGCTTCAGTATATATATTATATGAAATGAAGTGGGTAGTCAAATCTAGAAATCACAATTCAATTATGACATTGATGGCTGTTCAAAAGACTGATAATCTGATCATAACTGTGCATCCTTATGAGGGCTGCTTAAAAGAATGGTGCTTCCTGCTACACAGAACACAACATTCCATTGTTCATGTACTTACAGGTGTATCTTGTAATGAAACAATGTTTGAACCATTGATGTAGAGAGTACATGATCTCTGGTCGTCACGGTATGGCACATGTAACAGTTGATACAATAACCTTTCCTTGGTGGATTGTATGGGACCTGTGTTCAAAAGCATAGATGTTTCTCAAGTTCTTTATTAAATCTGCATGAAATCTGTACAGCAATTTGATATCACTGCTGCTGTGAATTGTGTATTGTTAGCAATCAATTTTATCATAAAATATATATTCAATATGTTAATTTTAATAAAGTAATATTTAAAATGTCTTCAATTAATGGGTTTTTTAATATATATCTATACCTATTACATAAACACCAATTCAATTTCATTCTTTAAATTACTATAATATAAAACACTGTTTTTTTACAACATAAACTTAAACCAAATAAACTATGGTATATAAATACTTACAGTATCACTATAAGTAGCCTATTATGAAAACTGATATCATAACATAAGCATTTCAAAGTTATCATTACCTATGTAGTTTATAACTTGGAGTGGGATACAGTCACTGGTTTCAGGGACAAGTAGCTGACTTCCATCATTATAATGTATGGCAACTGGTTCAGATTCATTTCCAAAATGAAGGTAGCACTGAAAACAACCAGAATAGGATAAATTCAGCACAACTGGAGGCTGAAATATTGTAGCTTAAACTCCTTTGAAGGTAAACCACTTTCCAGACTCCCTGTCACATAAGAAATCTTATGTTTAATTAATGGGATTTCAAACAAATCATTTTAAAATGCAAATATTTTAAAATTAATGTAAGAAATATTTCAGTGTTAAAAAAATATTGTCAAAAAGTCTAAATACAAACCTCTCCTTCAAGTAATGATTTTTCGCAAAAACTTTCTGGTAAATTTCTTGTTCCAGTGAGGACCTGTACCTTGTACAGGTCTTCTCGACCATTATTCCATCCACCAAAATACCCCTTGACTTGTTCCACAACACAGTCCAGACCAGCCACAGTACAGCACTTGTTGAGAAGCACTGGCAAGTTTTCCCAGTTCTTAAAAAAATTGAGCTGAAACACAAATAATTATTTTATTAAAAAATCATCAACAACCTATGCATGGTATACTCCTAAAAATACCTGTAAAAAAACTTTGCAATAAGCCACATCTGCTCGAGCAATTTGTATATAAAGTGCAAGTTGGTGTGACCTACATAAGGTCTCCAGGTTTTAGAATCTATCAAAACAGCAAGGCACATTTGTATTACATCATACAGAGAAAAATAACTCCTCTATAAAAATTAACGGCCTTAAAAATGATGCACAGCAGTTTTCCTTATTTCTCCATGATCAAAGTACCTGTATATCTTATCTCTGCCATATAACAATTAATGCATAAAGTGCACAGTATGATACCTACCATATGCTTATTATTGGTGCTGATGTCTGCTACATAAGTATTTCTAGCCAGAGATAAAAGTCTTGCTAATAGTTCTTCATATTCATGAGGTAGAAGGTCACCAACCATGGAAGTTAAATTGCTGAGTAGGATAGTGTTGAAAAGAACCTGAATTTTGAGCAAAGCAAAAAAAATTATCTAACATCTATTGAAATGCATGTATCTATTATATTCAATTTAAAAAAGTTGTTGAAAATGAATAAATGGGCAGCTGTATCAGACTAGTCCAGGTGTATAAATGTGTACCAAAACAATAATTTGGAAAGAACAAGTGTGGCATACTAGCATCCTAATCAGAGGAAGTGCAAAATCCAGAACATGATTTAAACTACAGAAAATGAGAATACAGAACCAACTGTACAACATTGTGTGGATTGGCACTTCAAGGTATGCAGAATTTACTGCTCTATGCATTCAGAAGTCTGATAATTATCAATTTAATCAAAATGCATTCAACAACTTTGGTCTTATTCACAAAAGCATCATATAATACTGCTTTTTCATCTAGAACTTCAAGCATAAAATGTATGATTCTATGCCAGATATATGAATACCCTGTAAACGATGTTTTTTTTTTTCATTTTATTATTATTATTTTTTTTTTTGCATCACGGTACTAAACATGAATTTTTTAATGCTGTTTGCTTTACCTGATTATCATTATAAAGATATTCAACAGCTGCTGGTAGATTGTCTTGAAACAATGAGCCAACATACAGGTTTGGGATACTATGGTAAGTTAAATTTTCTTTTACTGGTAACTTTGAATCTGGAAAACAAAATAAAACAAATGGCCAAGATGTTTAAGTCTGATGCTGAAAAAAATGATACACAGGTGATGGAGTAAGGTTTGGGTTTTGCTGCTTCATATATGTTCTTGTTCACATAGAATTTTGTTCTAGTTGAATAGTATTGGGCGTTTTTTTTTTAATTTGATTTAAAAATGTATGGTATAATCATCACTGTGAAGTGGTAATTTACAATAACTTACAATAATTAATTTTTTGTACATAAGGCCTTCAAATTAGAGAGAAAACAGAGAAGACTCCTGGGAATTGTATCATTATGAGATTTAGAAGAAAAATAAGTGGCAGCAACAACTTTAATGTTACACATAATTCCGATCATTGTAATAAGTATAATTGCATGAAATTTTAAAATTTATTCAAATTTTTAAGGATTATGTTGTAACAAATAAGAGTTTAGTGACCTCAATAAGGTCATTGTGATAAAGAAGTGTTATAGTAAGGTAATATCTTATTGCCCTTAGTTATACCTTCCACAGGGGGAAGAGAAAAACGGTAAAAATATTAACTTGAACTTAGACATCCTTTGACCAGTCTCAGCCCTCAAAAGCAGTATCTGAAAGACTTATCACACTTGTGACTTGAAAAAATGAAAATGGCTCAGTCTCCCCCCAATCCCCACAACTGCTTGATTGCCTTAGTACTGATGTGTTTATAAAATAAAGTGGAGATGTTTAGACACAGAGAGTTCAAATTTCTATAAATCTTAACTGGTTTAGATAACCTATGTAATCATTTTAAAAAATCCAATTACCTTTATTTTATCATGTGTTACTATTAAGCTTGTATCTAAAAACAACTCACCTTGTATGAGCAGTGCTATAGCTGTATATGTATGGGTAGTATCAGCCAGCAGGGAAACTGTATAACCAGAGCCTATTTCCAATATACTGCCTTTGTGTCCTTTCATTTCACTTATATATGATACAAATTTTGGCAATGTGTGCTGAGGGACCTCTGGTAAAAAATCATGTACAATAATAATATCATGGAAGTTTTTGATAAGTACTGTGAACAGTAAAACATGGATAACATTTATAAAGAACTATGAGAAAATGTAAGGTGTCAAGTGCAATATATCAGTCTCTGATAAAACTGACTGACAACTGTAGAAATATAGGATGTAACACCTGAAAATTTCTCATACCTCTTGATAAAAATAATTTTTTCATGTTAAACAATATGAAACATTACTTTTAAAACGTCACATATCACTGAGAAATAATCAAGAAAAATTGCAGTAGTATCATAATATTAAATAGATCATAAAATAGTATCAAATATATCTTTTGTACTTAGAAAAACTAAAAATGTCATATTGATAGATTTGAACAATTATTACCATTATCAGGAAGTCTGCCAAATCTTAGAGCAGAACAAAGCCTCTTCATGACAAGGACATCCCCTGGAAGTTTCTCTTCTTGCTGTTTCTCTAACTAAAAATCCAAACAATTGTCACAAAACAATTAAAGGGATAACAACTCTTCATATGAGATTCATATTTCACAATAAATACATTGTGAACAACTCATAGAAACATACTAAATTCTATTTTACCACCAAAGCAGCAGCTTTCGCAATTATTTTGATATCTTTGCTTATGACCACGGGACCTTAATTCATAGATGGCTACTCACTGTAATAATCTCTTCTTTATAAAAATGTCTTAAGAGATTATTACAAAAAAACAAAGTCCTGAAAAAAAAACAGACTAATTTTGAAAGTCAGAATGGATTCATTCACCATCGGTAAGTGTGGGAAAATTGTCATTTAACCCCCCCCCCTTACCCCCCTTTCTCCCCCCCCCCCCCCCCAAAATAAACAGTTGTTATCACTTGACTTAAATGCACCTTTAACAGACTAACACGCCCCCGAGTAGAATACAGAGAAGCTGGTGCTTATACAAGAAAACAAGAGGAAGGGTGTTCGTCTCTTATATCTAACTGTATTTAGTGAGAGTCCCTGATGGGTTAGGTCGGAAAACGGATAACCACACCGTGTTTAAATTTGACACCCCTGAATCACTTTCCCTCCTGACCGCGTCCATATATTCTCTTCTAGCCACACTGTCATCTACAACTTGTAATCCAATAGTTGTATAAAAATCCTTGTATTCTTCATATATCTTCCTTCTAATTTCTTTGCCTCGGACCGCACGTGACGTACGCGAAACTTCGCCCACCTGCTGCGGGGATGGTTTAACATGTCTGTTCATATCTCCCTTTTGTGTCAAATAATTTGCAGCACTGTTGACATAATTCCTGTTATATTGAAGGCCTTCCTTCCATTCAGTTAACGCACATATAGTTTTAGAGACAATCACAAGCACATAAAAGGCGCAGAGAGCTTTAAATGCGGCTGCTCTCTCCGCCATCTTTTTTGTTTACGTCAATGCATGCTGGGAGATATTAAACTTCCGACAAAAAGTGACAAATTTTATTATCTATATTTTATAAAGGATACTCTCAATTATAATCAGCAAACAGTATATTCAATCTTTCTTTTTCTCGTACTTTTAATCGAAATAATTCATTGAATTTCAGATCTCGCTTTTCTTTGAACAACACGAGAAATACACGAGTACCAAGTAGTAAGCAATATGGGAGACACCACGCTGAAAGAAGTTGTTGAAAATTTGACCGATATTTCTCCAGGACCGGAGACAAATGGCACAGCAAAGATACCAGCAACGCCAGAGGGGATGGCGGTTGCGTATGGAAGTTTAGTTTTGATGGCATTACTGCCAATTTTCTTCGGATCACTTAGGTCCGTAAGGTACCATAAGGAGCAAAAGGTAAGTGGCAGCAGCCGGCGTTTTTATTCCTGCTAAACAGTAAAAAAAAAATAATAAAAATAATACAAGGAGACCATTAAATCGATAAATTCCCTGATTTTACATCTAAGTCATATAAGGCATGCGAACGAAATCGGCATTTTTCAACAACTTCATTCACATTACTTCTGCTAGATTTGCTTTTACACATGAGTTATTTGTTATTCCACTCATGCCAACGTGAACAGAATTGGTGACATATGCCATATGGCAAGGTTTTTAAAGTAGACAGTTGCTTGCTGAAATTTGTCGTTTTTGTTTATGAAAATTAGACGCAAAGTATATTTATTTCCCCATTATTTCATTGAGGAATCTGGAGAAAAACCTGAAACGATGTCAAGTAAAGATGCAGCCATGTTTCCCATCATTGCCAGCTGCACCCTCTTGGGGTTATATATATTCTTTAAGGTAATGCCTCTTATGTTTTTGTCAAAATATGTGAATGACATCTGTTTGATAAGTTTGCTCTGTTAATTGAAAATTAGCCTACTTGTAAATAAAACATGCCAAAAAATAGAATTGTGATGCAAAAAATGTTAATAATGCGTGTTGAAGATGTTTAAAAGATCTAAACAAAAATGAAAAAAAGTGTAGTTCCATATGCAAATTTTGCCATCCTTGCCTGAACCAACATACTCTTGTGTTTCTATATGCCATTATAGATAGTCTGACTTAATTTTCCAGATTTTCTCCAAAGAGTACATCAACCTACTCCTGACATTTTATTTTTTCTTCCTTGGAGTGCTTGCCCTTGCGCACATCCTAAGGTATGTTAGAAAGAGGTGATAATTGTATGAAAATGTAGTCCAGGCATAACTTCATGGTATCAAGATCTTAGTTTTCACCAGTATTCATTTTTGTAAGTATTTTAATCTCTGGAACCAAATAGTTTTCTAAACCGCTTTATGTAGATAATTTGACAATGCACTACCAACAAAACATAGAAAGGGTCACACAGTAGCTGTCTCTGTACTGAAATTTGTTGATAAATTTTTTTATTGAAAGACCATGTGTAAATGAGCCCTTTTTATATTTGTTTAACCCTATAGCCCTGTAGTGAACAAGCTGATCCCAGCAGCATTCCCAGATGAGCAGTATCACTTACTGCTGAGAAGAGGGAAAGATAAAGAAAAGAGAGAAGGTTGGTGGTCCCTATAGAATTTCCTTTCTTTTTATATTATTATTATTATTATTATTATTATTATTATTATTATTATTAAATATAATAAAATATCAAAATAGAAAAATAATCCATATCTTCAATGTTTACAACATATTAAGTAATTACATCTTCTTTAGATAGCAGAGAAAACACACTTATTGTTTATCTTTGATAAATTTTATTCCTGTTACAGATCTCATGGACTATGAGTTCAACAATAAAGATCTTGTGTGTCTTCTCTTGTGTGCTGGGTTTGGTGTCTGGTACCTGCTAAAGAAGGTGAGAGTGTGAGGCACATGGTATAAGTTTCACTTCAACAAAATTGTTTGGTTTCTAATGATAGTTAGAAAAAGAAACATCTATGATGCTTAATGGAAATTTCACTTTCAGCTTTGCTCACTCCAAATAAAGTTATAAACAATTTTGTAATGTCTGATATAGGATTGATGAAACATGTTTACACCTACATAGGTGAAAGTTTCTGGGATTATGCCTGATTTCAGGATTTTCAGTCTTTATTTTGATGTTTTCCCCCCCCCCCCCCCCATATGGTCCAAATGCCACACAAAATTGCAATCAACATTTTCAGGATTTCAGTTTTTTTACAACTTTTACCTGTCCACCTACTAATCTTTCATTACATTCTATTTGCTCATGCTATATAATTGACATAGATAAAAGTTGTGATTTTTAAACAAATTGTTATTTTATTCACAGCACTGGATTGCCAACAACCTGTTTGGGCTTGCCTTTGCTGTCAATGGCGTAGAACTGCTACAGTTGAACAGAATCAGCACAGGCTGTATACTTCTAGGCGGGCTCTTTCTTTATGACATATTCTGGGTTAGTATTCCTAGGAATTGGTTAAAACAGTTTTTTTTAGCATGAAGTCATATCACAAGCTCTTTTGGTAGCATAAGCCACTCATAGGAATGGCAGACTGTTTTTTTAGACTTAAACCAATATTAAATAAATGGGACAGTTGAGTGTATAACCTAGGCTGCATTTTAAGTCAAGTTTTGAAAATTTTTTTTTAATGTATTATCTCAGCAGACATTGCGATTAGGACTCCTAACTGTAAGAGGTCAGTCTAAAGGCACCTGTTTCTCCTCAGTGACTGGAGAGGACAACAGGGGGTTTAGATGGATATCCTTGGAGAGAAGTTGCAGTCATATAATCTGCTGAGATAGTGCTTTAAGTTTTATATTTTGCCTGGAAATTATGCCATAGGGTTTCTGTATTTCATTAAGGCATACATTTTATTGGTTAAAAGGATTGCACAGAATTGTGTTGTAGAGTGAATGTTGCTCAGAATTAGAAAATATTTGTTGATTGCAGTATTATTTGTATTACAGGTATTTGGAACCAATGTCATGGTCACTGTTGCCAAATCCTTTGAAGCGCCAATCAAATGTAAGTGCATCAGTGTCAACATTCAATGTACCAATTTTATTTTTTTAAATGATTTTAAATTTTTTTTAGCTATTGTTTTTACCACAGTAACCAGATTTTTTAACATGCATAATAATAACAACAATTGATAATGGAATGAAACAAAGCATTGTACGCTATTATGGGCATTGCTCTTATTGTAATGGAAGTAGCCTCTGAATAATATATATATATATATATATATATATATATATATATATATATATATATATATATATATATTTTTTTTTTTTTTTTTTTTACATTTTTATGAAATGATTAACATTCATTACCTATACAAGTTCTTCATGGAAATATTATCAGTTGTACATTTTATTTTGTCTGAGAAGATGAGTGATTTTAAGCATTGTGTATGTGAGAGTTACTTAGGTTATCATCTTTTCAGTGGTGTTTCCTCAGGATCTCCTGGAGAAGGGGCTTGCTGCTAATAATTTTGCCATGTTAGGACTGGGAGATATTGTTATTCCAGGCATATTTATTGCCCTTTTACTGAGATTTGATGTCAGGTATAAAAAGTACAGCTTCTCTGTAGCTTTACTTATAATCTTCTTTGGTATTTGATCATTAAAATGCAGTTTCATTGAGCTAGTTTAATGGTAGCATTTTACTTTTGCATTTTAATCCAAGAATACTTGTTTAATTGAATGAATTTAGATTGTATAATTTTTTTTATACATGAACTGAAATTAAACAATTCATTTTCAGGTGTTTTAGGTTTTAAGAACTCTTTAATACTGAATTCTTATTTTACTTTATTTGTGATACCTTTTTTTTCAGTCTGAAGAAGGGTGGCAAGGTGTATTTCTACACTAGTTTTGCAGCATATTTCCTGGGCCTAATGACTACAATATTCATCATGCATGTATTCAAGCATGCACAGGTATGTCAGGTCTTTTCCTAAACATATAAACCTTGTTCTTGTTATTTGCTGTACTCCAGGTACCTCTAAATAATATCACCTTTCTATTGATGCAGTCAGTCAAGATTCAATATTTTATTAGAAGCTTATTCAGTTTTTCATCTCAATGCCTCATGATTGCACAAAACTAATTTGCAAAAACCCCTTTCTATGTATAGACATTCTTTCTGTAAAAGAAAAGAAAATATGTGTCTGCTTGCAACTTTGGTGGAGCATTTTTGATAAGTAATTGAATATTTCAGCCGGCCTTGCTGTACCTTGTGCCTGCATGTATTGGTGCACCACTCATAACTGCCATTGTAAGAGGGGAACTTAAAGAACTGTTTGCGTAAGTAGATAACAGCTACAGTTACAGTTTTTAAAATAAAAATGCTTTAGTATAAGTCACATTGTCTGATAATGAATACTGAAACAAGTTGTATGTGATATTTTTGTTATCAACTATGTAGTAATTCTTTAAAAAAGAAATATGCAGTGTAAAAAAAAAGTTATGTATCTAAAATTTGGGAATCTTAACAATTGCGATCTTTGTCTGGCAAATCCTGACACTTTTAATAATAGAACTCTCATTAAATTTTGGTTCCTTGTGTCAGTCGTCATTGTCCACTGTAAGACAATTTAAAGTGTGAATTCACACCAATATTGTTACATGACATGCTTCAGAAGCTTTAAGTTTTGAGTAATTATATATGTCAAATGGTGATTTATTTATTTATTTATTTATTTTTCAGTTATGAAGATAACCCAGAGAAACTGGAGGAGACAAGTGAAGAGGATGAGAAATCTACAGAGAACAAACAGACATCCAAAGAGGACGGAAAAGAAGAAAAGAAAATCAAATAATAACATCTCATTGATAGAATGATATACTTTTTTGTGTTTTTTGAAGTATAGTGCATATATTTTCAGCTTTTTATATCACTATTATTTATTTCAAAGTGAATTGTACAGGTAGTGTACTTGGTTTCAAACATGTTATCATTACATCTGTATGATAAGTGAAAAGGAAAAAGTTGAACATTGCTTGTTTCACTCTTTTTAGTAATATTATTACTTTGTTGCAACTTGTTGGGAGAATGGCAAATAACTTTGTTCTCTATTCCTGGAGATTATTATGAACTAAATTTTATTGCCTTTGCCATTTGGAAAAATTAATTGGGTAAATGTGGTTTGGAATGGATGTCTAGTTAACAATTTTCATAGAATGCTCAAACAATATTTAAAGTCTCACATTATTTAATTTTAGTAACTATTATTTCCATTAGATACATATGGACAGAAACCATTGTAATACTGCACTCTAGGATGCTGGATATTTAAGTGACACTGTTATTTGCCGACCAGAGTAAACTCCTTACATTTACGTTGTTAATGTAAAATATCAAACATCAGTCAATGTCCTTTTTGACACTTGCCTAATACAATAGTGTTTCAGACTTGACTTTTTTTCTTAAACTTTTGAGTATTATATCTGACAGAACTATGGGTCCATTTCCTTTGATTTAGGCTGGTGAGTTACTTTATTATGGTTGCATGTTGTAGAAAGTGACTTGGATATAAATGTATTTCACTAATGAATGTGAAGCAGAGAAAATATAGTTTATGTAAAGTGAACAGCTATACCATTTGCATGTTGTTCAGTATATAAAATGTGTATTTATTTGATCAGAAGTATAATGAATGTGTTTTAGAACTATCAGATTTAGCGTAGATGGAAAAAATCGAATCCTACAGCCACGAAATCCAGTTCTTGAATATGAGTTTTACCAGGATTCAGGAATAGGTGATTCTGACCTTACCTGGCCCATAATGCTGACGTTGTTAAGTCTTTCAAATGGTGCTTTAGTTGTTCAAATACTAAATGTATAACTATTTTATCTCTGTAGTACATTGGTCACATGAAACCCAGGGTCTCAGAAATGTAGTCTTACTTAGTTTTTTGTTGCTTTAGATAGTTAAGTATTGACTAAATATGTAGTAGTCTTTATTTCTTCCATTTACTGAACACTCCTTATTTTATTTTTTACAAAATAATATGTTATAGTCACAGTAGGTGCAAAAGTGGTGCAAGGTGAAGGTTATGAAACGACCGAAAAAAGAAAATATTCCATTGATTTAATGGATTTAAGAGATAAATATATTGAATATATTCAGCAACTTGCGGGTCTTTTTTTAATTCGTAAGAACTTATGCCAAGTTACAATGTAAAGCACGTCACCCTCCACAGTTCATAATTGATTGCGGGCTGTCTGCTGTACGTCTCTCCTACCCTCTCTTAATACAGGGGTCTCTAGTGTAGTAAAGAGACCACTAGCGACCCCTGTGGCAAGAGATTATATCTTTCCCAACAGATGGGGGCTTTCCTCCCAACTACGGAAACTAGTGACATTGAGATTAGGGACCTTTTACACCTGTGCGTGCTAAGGCTTGGTCATAAACTAGATTAAGGCTATTAACATCCCTGGGAATAAAAGGCCTACATGTTTTAACAAGCAAATTCAAATAAAATACGTCTATATGTTTGTTATCTTAAACTACAAAGAAGTTTATTGGCCAGGCATGAAGTGTATAGTATTTGCGCAATGGATGAAAGAATCTTATAGTTTCTCGAAAACCGTTTCTCGTTACAATTCAACTCGGTTATTTTACAAAAAAAAAAAAAAAAANCAGATAATCTATCAGAGGAATAATTTTATTTCTCTGGCGTGAAAGGATACCGTGTATAAACCAATATTGAAAATCCATCAAATCAATAGAGTTCGTTTAGAATTGCTGAATCATGATAAATTTGATAGAAATCAGAATGCAATTATTCCTATTCAGGTAAAAAAAAAGTATCTTAAAATTTTTCTTTAATTTGTTAGTATGTTAATTAATTGTATTTATATTTTACAGATGGACTTTCAATGCCCGCCAAACGGAAGTATCTGATGACACCTGGGTGTCCATGGTAACTAGCAAGACAATAGCTAGCTTGAATCCAGATGGATCAGTTGTAGTTGGCTGAAATTTGTTTTAAACCTTGACACGATATCAAAATAAGCACTATTTTTGTTTTCCAAGGATTAACAGCATTAACAGCTTGGGAGTTTTGTAACGGATGAGAAGAATAATATCGTGCAATAAAGATATTTACCAAATATAACCTATTTAAAAACCAATTTGAAAGTGGTATTCGCATTATGTAAAAATTTCATCATCCACATAGTCTATGTTATTTAACGAAATTACCGATACTTTTGTCACTGGTCTCGTTCAAATAAAATCGCCTTGAGTAATTTGTTCAGTACAGAACCATATTACCTGATTCCAAGTAGGTCTACGTTTATGACGGGACGCATACAGTATGAAAAACAGAAGTGACTGCAAAAAATTAATAATAATAATAATAATGGTCGACTAGGTTACAATTATACTGTTCATATGACGTCAATAACGTCAATAAAGTGTGTATAGCAGCACCGCAACTCGTCAACGACAACCGACAAAAGAAAACGGAGAGGTCTCAAAGCTGAAATTACTTATGATTTTACAGATTTTAATGTGGATACGTAGATCAAATATTCATACATAAAATTTAATTTGAGTAACGATAATTCTTTTTTGTACAATCTCACGCGCCTTGGGTATCTCAAAAGACCATTGTGACGTACATGTGAATATTTAGCCCCCCCCCATTGCGTGCACAGCAACGATTGTCAGCAGACCACTGAATCATTGTAAGTGCACTAATTAAGACTTCATCCATAGAGATGTGTTCTTAAATAAACGATTTTAATCATGTCTATAATGTAACTATAAATGAAAAAAAAAAAGATTTATTAAAACAGGATAGGCCTACGTAGTACGGTCGCCTTGTGTACTACTTATGGAAAAATACTTATGACGTATACAATTGCAACTGTGACGTCATAAGTATCAACAACACGAAGAGTTCTCTCTTGTAAATCTATTTCTGCCAAGCCATGAAAATGAATGTGAAACGAATGATGAACACACAATAACGAGGTCTTCGATTTACACAAGGAAATTAGTGCCGTGGAAATGAATAAATGGTTCGTATTGACACCGTTGTAGTAATTATGTGCAGGTAGAAAATGCAGTTCTGAAGCACATCGCACTTGACAAAAGCTATATACTGGTAAAAATGTCTATCGTGCTGTATTGACTTTCAACTTCTGTAGCAGGAATGGTGATTGACACGTTCTCCGGTTTATGATAAGGCCGACAGTGTTACATAGGAGAAAAATACGTTGAATTTAGAATTAAATGTAATATTTCACCAGTTGAATTTTAACTGATCACTTTCTTTAACAACAACCATCATGATGAGTGTAGGCCTATAGCTAGAGTGCAAATTGTGTTTGATTTTTTAACGTTTAGATATACCTTTTTATGCATTTTTGTATGAAATATTTCCATCACAATAAAAATTCTAGCTCAAATTTTTCATGCGTTCATGTTTAAGTTTTACTCCTTTTGCCTGAAATCACGCTAATGAGTTAGAACTGTAATTGATCCCCTTTTGAATCCTTTTCTATCAAAAATATGCACTCGACCCTCCCACGACTGCCCTTCTCTCGGGATAATATAGACATGTTACAGACATTCAACATTTGGTAACTTTCCCACATGCGAAAGACAGGGAGATAAAAAGCCTCTTGCACAACAACTGTGAAGTACATATAGGCCTTGTGACTTAAGCTGTCCAAAACCACAGCTTCCTCTATAAATAACAACTCCATAGTATACCATAATTCATTTGATTCAAGCCATTCTTAAAAGAGCACTTAATGGCAATAATTTTGTCTAAACGACATAAAATCATTTTTAAATAAGTTCATCGGTGCTTACATCATCATGACCCATCTTATCTGTTCTTCATAAGAAAATTTTTGCGGGTGCATTGATGGTGAACTGCCTCTCTGTATGCCATACAAGCAATGGTGGGATTTGGAGTGCTTTGAAATCATTAAGCTAATAAGACTAACATTCTGGTTGACACACGCTTTGAAAAAACGTCATTAAACAGTTAGAAAGATACACATAATCATCCACCAGGGAGGGCAGAAAATAGGATCATAACCCTATAATATCCCTTTAAAATCGTGTTGTCTAACGGGTTCGGCCTCTGTCCAGCAATGACCTTCGATTGTGTTAACATGGTTCGTCTTCTTTGGGCGTCCGCATGGTTGCTGCAGTGTGCATGGTGTATAAGTAAGTTGTCATTTAATAACATAATCTGAAAGGTTTACAGATTTTCAAGATTTTTAAGCATTAATTTGTGTTTCACATATCCTAGCTGCCATTGAGCAAACTTGATAATTTATTCACTTGATAGTATCCTTTTTTGTCACAGGCGCTCGTCATCTGGCTGAACCGGAGATTATCGACCTTGTTCACAATCGTCACAGACGCGGCAGTTCCACAGTCTGTTATCCAGATGTCGGTTGTTTCAACAATTCTGCTCCTTTCAATAACGCCTACAACGAACTTCCATCTAAACCGGAAGACATAGGCACAAAGTTTCACCTGTATACTCGCCACAATCCAGACTTTCCTCAACAAATATTTTACAATGACGGAGGAGAAAGTTTGCTTCATTCGTTCTTCGATAAGGACCTACCAGTGAAGATTGTAACGCATGGGTTTACCGATAGTATAGATGCACTTTGGCTAAAATCAATGTCGGATGCTTTCTTAAAACACGTGAGGAGTCTCAGTATTTGGCAATTTACAAAGCATTTTATGTCGTTATAATTATTCGTTTTATGTCGTTATAATTATTATATTTCTCGAAAAAATCTTTATGGTAAGGTAAAATATCCACAATTATATGACTTATAAATATGAGAAACGTCAACATCGGACAGGGTATGTTCCAAATGCATGTATTGATCTTTTTACTGGATTTTGTGATTTATCTTTTAGGGCCCGATGAACGTTGTACTCACAGGATGGAAGAATGGGGCAAAGGCACCATATTATCCCAAAGCTGTTGCCAACACGCGCCTAGTCGGAAGACAAATAGGTCTACTGGTAAACTTAATGGTCAACGTGATGGGGACCAAGTACGATCAAGTTCATTTAGCGGGCCATAGTCTTGGTGCTCACATTTCTGGGTACGCAGGGGCATATCTGGACGGGAAGATTGCACGAATAACTGGTATATTTTTTATTGAAACAACTTTTATCTGCAACTGGCTTTACATGTGGTATTCTAATTTTCAATAAGCTTTTGATTGGTAATTTTATTTTCATTTGTATTGTTTGATCGGATTTTTAATCCTTTTGCCTTTCAAAACTAAAAAAACTGACAAATTGGTAAATGCTCTTACGTATGGTTTATACGTACGGTGTACGAAGCTTGGGATCATGAAAATTGGCTAATGATAAGTAATCCGACCGAGTCGACCCTTAGGCAGTATTTCCATATTTGTACTTACCGGTACTGTAGGAGTGCATGTCCTTTCTGTGTGTGACAAGAACATCTGGACCGGAAGTTGAATGTATAACCATTTCTCCGTAGACATGTTCCATATATAACATTTTGATGGTACATGCATAATAGCATAAGATGACGTAATCACAATAACTGGAAAGCGGTTTTTATTCCATTTTTATGTACAGACACAGATGTGTCTGTACATATTGCCATCACCTGCGTCTGTCGTCGCCGTCGCCGTCCCTGTCGCCGTCGATGTCGCCGTCGCCGTCGCCGTCGCCGTGCACTTTCATCGTTAACACGATAAGTGGAAGACAGTTTAACTTTTTGGCTGTATATTTACAGAGCTGTTGAATATTTATAAAACGCAGGTCAAGTTCGAAAATCAGCATGTTTAGGCCATTATTGTAGAAGTTATGCTGTTTTTTCACTTTTCAGCATATATGCAACACTGTTAACACATTTTAAGGAAAACCGATAGGCCTGTTGTCATGAAACTCACAGGAGTAATCAATCTCACTAAAATGCAGGTCAAGTTCGAAAATCAGCATTATCGGGCCATTATTTTAGAAGTTATGCTGTTTTTTTCACATTTCCTCAAATTCAATTCTTAGGCATGTTAATAGTCTCATTATTTAACTAATAAAATACGTAAAGGTGTTTGTTTCACATTTCCTGCATCTTCACAACATTGTTAGTTGATTATGTAAAAATGATGGTAAACTTGTTATCGTGTTTTGTGTAATAAAGTGTCAAAAATGGAAATAAACTCATATTATTGCAGTTTGTCAGATTCAATCATCCACTATGTTCAGAATCTCAGAATAGAGGAAATTGGACATTTAACACTGTTGTATTGATATTTTCCCCATCTCATCAATTTTCTTAGTTGATCATATAAAAATGGCAGTAAACTGTTAATTTTGTTTTATGTTAAAAAAGTGTTAAAAATGGAAAAAACCCATTTCAGAACAGTGCTGTCTTGTTTACTTTTTGGCATTTTCAAGATGTGACTTTGAAGTTCCATGGTCCTGAAGACCTTTGCTAGTCACATTTTCTGAATATCCATGATACTAATATTTTATTATTAAAAATTGATGGTCATTATGCTGTTAAACATTATGTAATGTTGCATCAAAATTTGAAGAAACCCCAATTTTGGGTACTGCTCCCATGATGACCATTTAAGGAAAACCATGTCACTTACTGTTCTCAAACTTACAGGAAAGAAACATGGGACTAAAATCAACTTCAGTAGGCAATGCAGACTGTTTGGTAAATTATTCTGGCAGTTAAACATTTTTTTGTAAAAAATTTAATTTTTCACATATTGGCATTTTCAAGGTGTGACTTAGAACCACCACAGGCTTAAAGACCCATGCTAGTCACATTTTCTGAAAATCCATGATACGTATATTTTATTATTAAAAATTGATGGTCATTATGCTGTTAAGCATTATATAATATTGCATCAAAATAGAAGAAAACACAATTTTGGGTGCTGCTGCCATGATGACCATTATGGGTAAACCATGTTACTTATGATTGTCAAACTTTCAAAAAAGAAACACAGGACTAAATTGCAGCCGAGTTAGAAAAGCAGCCTGATTTGCTTCTTTTTCTTGTAGTTACACATTTTAGTGAAATATTCATTTTTATCATGTTGGCATATTCATTGTGGGACTCAGAGCTCCCATGGACATAAAGCCGAATGGTAACCAAATTTTCTACATGTCCATGCTATTTATAGTCAATAATTGGTGATAATTATTCTGTAATTGATTATGTAATGTTACATCAAAATTGACAAAAATGTACTGCTACTACAAACATGAAAAGAAAACTGTGTTACTTATTATTATTATTTTTAACTTACAAGTATTATTTGTAGGATTGGCATGCAGTTTAAATTAGAAAACCAGCTCAATTGGGTTATCATTTATTATTGAATTTATGCAATTTTGTGTAAAATTTTCATTTTTCTTATTCTGGCACTTTCAAAGTGTGAACTCTAATGGGCCTGAAGCCTTATGCTTGTTTCACATTTTACTTACGTTGGTATTACCTGTTCAGCATAACTAAAATTTGATGTTGAATTTGCAGGTAAGCATAATGTACTTTTGTATCAGAATTGACAGTAGCCTATTTTTGTGCATTGTTGTTTTCTGCTTTTTGTCTGTACATTTGACAGCTTTGCTGCCTTGTTCTTTCTTTTCACGCAGGCTTAGATCCGGCCGGACCATTTTATGAGAAATATCCAACAATAGTTCGTCTCGATAAATCTGATGCCAAATTCGTAGATGCAATTCACACTAACGGAGCTCCTCTAACACATGAAGGAGCGGGGCTGCAAAAAATATCTGGCCACGTGGATTTCTACCCTAATGGCGGTGCCTTTCAACCCGGGTGTGGAGACCCTGTAAAAGGTTCTCTTGGGCAACTATTCCAGGGACACTTAACAGGTAGGTCGAACAAATAGGCAATAGAACTAAGGAGATACTACCCACATAGCAGATTATATTTGTAAGTAGGTCTAACAGCGAAATTATTTATCGCTTGAAAAAATAATCACATGAGCAACACTGTACATCTCAGGACCAAAGTTGGAATGACCTAGTCATTAAAATGCAGCTGAAGATGAATGCAATACCTGGGATTTCACATTTTGTTACATAACTGAATCTCACTTTGTAACGTGTGGCTGCAGTCTGAAATTCGGGGTCATCTCTATTGGTCCCCAAATCGTTGTAACAAAGTGAGAAGCCCTAGGTATTGCAAGATAACCATACCAAACTTAACCGTGTTATGATTCGGTAGAATTTAGAGTAGTTGATATTTATTTTCCCTTTCGTCCGTAGGGGCAGAGGGCGTGATAGCATGCAGTCACAGAAGGTCCTATTATTTCTTCACGGAATCCATCAATTCCGTTTGCCCGTTTACTTCTTACCAATGCACTGACTGGGTAAGCACTGTTTCTTAGGTAAATCGTAGAGTACACACATCATTTTAAATATCTGCTATTATGTGAAGCTACCAAATATCCCAATTAAACAATGGCTGAACTATCAGAACGTTGTATCATCGTTTACATCCCGGAGAGAGGTTCTCTTGTCCAAGGGGAAGATTGATCCAGATGCGCGTCGAACATGGCAATATACTAATGTTTTAACATTAAAATACAATAGTTCCCAACAGCGAGTAGGCCTAATATGAATAGTTTTTTAAAGGATACATTCAGACGAGGGGAGTGCATGGACTGCAGCAGAGGTCAGTGTTCACAGTTGGGCTACCACGCGGACCAGTTCAATGGCACCGGAAAAATGTATCTTCAAACGCTTGGTGCTTCTCCCTACTGCGGTAAGTATTAATATATTAAATGAATAATGGAGTCCCCCCCCCCCCCCCCAAAAAAAAAAAAAAAAAAAAAGCCATTGTTAAATGTTGCTACCCTAGCTCCCGTTTGTCTCAAAATGAAATGATAAACAAGCAGTTCATTGCCAAAGTCGTCAGAATAACTATTCCAAAGTTCAGGATAGGCTACATCCCAATCAGTAAGTGTAGGTCTATGATTGAATTATGATTGTGGATTCAAATAAAGAGCCTCCGTGTTGGTTGCTCAGATTTTTAAACTTGTAGTTATGAAAAAAAAGCATAAAATATTTTTGTCAAAATTATTTTTAGGCTATCAGTACAGAGTTACGCTTACCGTCGCAGATGACAGTCAAGGATTAGTGAAAATACGAGTAGTGGGGGAAAACGGTGTCTCGGACGTTTTAGAGCTTTCTGAGTGAGTTTTTAAAAATGTTTTCCTTGATTTTCTGTTTAGAGGAAGCTATAAAACGGTGCGTCAAGTATTCTTGTTATTTTGAACGATCCCATTCTAAATTTTATTCTACGTAATTTGGGTATTTAAAGTTTTAATTATTACTCAATGGTTTTTAGATCAGAAATGTTATGATCAATACCAAATGTTGACAGGTTGATTACTTATTCTAAGAAGTTATTGGTGAAGCTCCAAAATGCTTTCATGAACGCTGTATGCGTCAACATTTTTAGAAAGCCGGACAAGTTGCATATTCAGCAACCTCTTCAGAAGATCTTTATTACCAAGAAAGACCTGGGGGATATAAAAGATGTTCAAGTGTTCTACGACAGACAAGAGCGTCTGCTCTGGGGGTTCGTTGCTGGTGGTGATGCTAGCTTAAAACTGGATACTGTGACGATATCTACAGGGGAAAAGAAAAATGCGTGAGTAGAAATTGAAGTACAGCAATACCATTCCTTTACGCTTTCATCTGAAAATGTGCCGTATAGTAGTGACACTCGCCCGGAAAACTTTTCTTTTGTTTTGAATATGAAAGTAATTTAAATAAACTTTTCAATTAGATATCAGAATTAATTTTTATTATGATATGTTATGTTTTAATGTCAAAATGGACACTGACTTCTCTTTCAGCTGGACGTTCAGTGCTGACCAGGTCGAAGTAACTGATGATGCCTGGGTTTCCCTTGTAACTAAAACGACAATAAAAGGCGCTGATGCAGACCTGGGACCACAATTCATCGGTTGACTTTAAAGGAAATGAAGTTTATTGGCTTGAAATTCTGTCCATCACAGTGATTAATAAATGGAAAGATTAAACAATATTTACCAAAACTTTTTGTATTGTTCTAACTTGTGCAACAAGAGTAGCGTCTATTTTTCAATAGACTTAAAAGTCTAATATCTGAAGAATCCGTCGCTTTCTATTCGCGCAATAAGTCCCCATTGGTGGACAAACTGGATACGAAACACAATGGAAAAACATTTGAAAAGCAAAAACTAGGAATTTTTGACAGTTTCTTTGGAATTGGTAAAAAAAAACTTTTAAAAGTGAGGTTCCTGGTCCAATGTTGGCAATGACGTTGATAACACTTTTAATGAATTTTAAGGCAAAGAATAGGTCCAAATATTACAAATTACCCCATAAGTCTTGCACTATCACTATATTGGACTTAATTCTTTGAAAAATATCATTACATGTAATGTAATCAATATTACCCTTGGCTGTTCATTTTTGGGTAAAAATAGTAACGACTATCTTTAATGCCTGTAAGGTAATCAAATGTCAATTTAAAAAACACCTTGATCTTTCGAAACTTCTTTCCCGCTACTGGTAATGCCAAATACGGTGGCTTACTTATGAAATTCACTCCAATATTTTCGATTTTCAGTACACCATTTAATTATAATTTAACAAACCATAAAAAAGTCTACCATTGACAGAAAATTTCACATTCACCAACAATGTATTGCATTGGTTTCGAAACAAACAGACTCGGTAGAAATTGATTCTTCAGAGTCCCCTGTGTTGTTGACGGCCCGTTCAGGAATGCTTTTATAGCTCCTTTTATAATCATCCATTTTTCATAATCACATTCAGTTCCACGACCTGTTGAATTTCATATCAAAGAGCACATGCCCAACCTCATGACTAGACATCACCAGATGGTGATATTCTCAGAACTAAGTGACAGAGGACTCAAAATCCCTTGGCACCTATGCGTGCAAAGATTTGATTACTTACAAGTCTACAATGTCTTTACAGCCCATTTGCGACGGTTTGAATTCCGTTTCGCATTCAAAGGCGTTGCAGGCGCTTGGCGAGAAAGAGGGGGCTCAGCTTCCTGCCTTCCATTTTAACCACGCCAGTCATTACGAAGAAAGGGACACTAAGAAAACCCCTCCCCTCGTCAGTATTTTTATGAGTGGTTAAACCCCAACCATCCTCTTGAAAATTTTTTCCTTCGAGCCCTGTACTATTACAAAATTTTGATTTACGATTTATGAAGATAGAGAGCCAATCGAACTTGTCTGTTAAATTGCAGGGCCGTAGCCTCCGGGGGGGCAGGGGGGGCAGCTGCCCCCCCTGGGATTTGAGGTGCAAAAAAAAAAAAATAATTGCAAAGTTGGTATCAATTCTGTGAGAAAATACACTCATGGGCACTAGACAATCATTCAACAATCTGTTTACAAAGGTGTCTGTTTTTAGCCAACTCAGTTCATGCCAAAAAGCTCACCCTCCCTTAGGGAGCTCTCCTGATCCTATTCCTAATCCTGAGACAATCTACGAAATGAAGTCCAACCGGCGTGTTGTGCTGAAAAAATGACTGTACTTATGGCAANTCTCGTGGCCTTTGCCTCTCGTGTCCGCTTACTGCCCCCCCTGGCATTTTGCTCAGGCTACGGCCCTGAATTGTCTATCGCTACTGTAATTGAGAAAAGTAGTGAACATCGTGGACCAGAGGGGAGTGTTAGAAATCGTATTTATATCATGTAATATTAGGGTACAATGATAAGTTGTCACAACTGAACTGTAAAGGTGTTTTTTAAAAACTGGCCCTTAATATATGTACATAAGTCCAGTGTGAGTCAAGGCCATTGCCCGAGTGTTATGCAATGATAAGTCTCGCCATAAAATCGGATTTCGGTTATTCATTCCGAGTCGAAATAACATGAATAGCATATTATAGAATATAGTATTACAGAAAGTATTTACAAAACAGGGAAAATCCTTCAATTTTAGTTATATTGTCTGCAATATCTATTCATAAGAGAACCGGTTTATAATTTTTTTGCTATCACGTATGCAATAAGGGAGAGAATACAACTGAAATGCATGGCCTGGCGACACTCATAAGTGGTCAAGCTCATGGCATTTGTCCCAATTGTTGAACTTTTAGGAAATTATACAAGTGCGTGCATGGAATTAGTTGTAATCGTATATAAATTGAGCTTATTAAGGGAAGTCTGTCTCTTTTGGCGTTAGAAGGCAATCGGATTCGACGGAATGGCTGTTCTGGTCTTGGTTTTATTTTTTCAGTCTTTATGGCTCGTATGTAAGTAATAATTAAAGCAAATGTTATATTAGAATTTTAAACATTTCATCGGAAGTGCTATTATTTGGATATTTGGGTTTAATTCGAATTTTTAAACGTTTAAGGTACTTTTGAAACTAGCCAATCAAAATAAAGGAAATATTTATCTATATACAGTTTTGTTGTTGACGTCCGCCACTAGATACTCCAGTCACTGGTAATACTGTGCAATGTTTCCCTTGTGTTAATTCACCCGTCACTGCAAAATATAAAAACTTTTATTATTCAATCACTGTTTTAACCCGAGTCTTGTGACCCGCCTTGTAGAAATCTAAGAAGGCTCAATTTTGCTTACTAGCTGCAGATGCCCGCCAGGTGATCGGCCCAGCAATTGGCAATGCTGTTCCAAATCGCTTCAGACGTTGGTCAGCCAATGTCTGCTATCCGGATGTAGGTTGCTTCAACAATGCTGCGCCTTTTAACAACGCCTACGATGAAGTCCCGTCAAAACCAGAAGATATAGGAACAAAGTTCCTTTTGTACACTCGATCCAATTCTGATTTTCCACAACAATTGACTTACAACGATGGAGGTAACAGTCTTCGGGTTTCGTTTTTCAACAAAGACCTTCCAGTAAAATTCATAATTCACGGATTTACAGAGAGTATTGATGCTCCATGGCTTAAGCGTATGTCAGATGCGTTTTTAAAAAAGGTTAGTACTGTATGTGTCTCAGATCTTTTTAAATATCTCCCTTTTTATATTTTAAAAGGGCAGATATAATTATCTTCAACTATAACGAGATGGGTAGGCCTATCCTAATTTTGATAGTTTTAGTACAAGTGTGGTCTTATTGTCTTACTTCTTAACATGCACCTACAGCTTTTATATATAACTTCTATTTTAGGTATCTGTTGCGTAAATTTAATTTAAAAAGAGCAGATCTCCGTGAACATTTCATCAATTCATGTTAAAAGCGAGATTTAGTTTAAAGATGAAAATATACAATCTTCACGTTATTTGACGTATCTTTAGGAACCAATGAATGTTATTCTTACTGGTTGGAAAGAAGGCGCAAAAGAGCCCTACTACCCTAAGGCCGCTGCCAACACGCGGTTGGTAGGTCGTCAGATTGGTTTACTGGTCAACTTGATGGTCAGAATGATGGGATCCACGTATGATAAGGTTCATCTGACAGGACACAGTCTGGGTGCTCATATATCTGGTTATGCAGGAGCTTACCTAGACGGGAGGATTGGGCGTATTACTGGTGAGACGTCTTTCATTAGTCAAACTATACCACAATTTGCTACAACGTAAATTTTCTTTACTAATCTAAAATACACATTGCCTTTTATTTCACGATTTAAATATTTTCCCTTTTTCAATTCCTACCATATCATATATCGTGTTTTGTCGTCAAAAGTACACCAAAGGAAATATTGCGATCAAAATAAAAATATGATAATTTGAGAAAAGTAACGACACTAAAATATGCAAAGAAAACCATACAGGCAATTTAATACGAAATGTTAATGCGTTTTCAAATTTGACCTCAGGTTTGGACCCAGCCGGGCCGTTCTTTGAAAGTTATCCCACAGTTGTCCGCCTCGACAAATCTGACGCCAAGTTCGTTGATATCATCCACTCCAATGGGGTGTCCATTACGTCTGGTGGGGCAGGGCTTTCCATAGTTTCTGGCCACGTAGATTTCTACCCTAATGGAGGTGAATTTCAACCCGGCTGCGGCGACCCTGTACAAAGCACCCTCGGTGAACTATTCAGTGGAGACTTTGAAGGTAATTAAGTTGTCAGATAAAGAAATGACTATTTTAATATAAAAAGACTATCGTTATTGTCATAAGGTCCCATTCACAAGTTATTAGACCCTATAACGATGTCCGATTCACTAAATTTGCAGTGTTGTGTAACCTTGTTCCATTTTAATTTTTCGCTCTTTTAGGGGCAGGGAATGCTGTGGCATGCAGTCATAACAGAGCGTTTGGCCTGTTCACTGCATCTATTGGTAATAACCGCGCATTCACTTCCTACTCGTGTTCAGACTGGGTAAGTGGTGGTCATATTTGCTAAACGCCGTAATATCATATAACTTTTTTATAATAAATTATAACTGCCGTTTCTGGTATCATAAATATTCATGCAACGTTTTTATGCCCTTGTGTAGAGAAATAAAGAAGAATGATGATATCATTCTTATCATTTATATTGCAGCGTGAAGAACTCGACATTCTACAACATCAAAATGCACAGTTTTGACATAATTTTAAAGATTTTAAAATATTGCCGTTTCTTTTTTTTTTATCAAAGCAAGCATAATAATAGTCACTATTTCTTAGATAACGGTCTAGAAAAAAATTGCACAGATTTTCAAAATGTCGTTTTTTTACCTCATAAGGATTCATTCTCCGTTGGAGATTGCTTTGACTGCAGCCGCGGCAAGTGCTCACAGATGGGTTATTATGCAGACCAGTACAAAGCAACTGGAAAAATGTATTTACAAACGCTTGATGAATCTCCTTTTTATGGTAGGAATTTGATTAAACATGCGTGAAAAATTTTAATGCCGAATACTTGCTGTTAAGGCAAACAGTATCAAAACAAAAGACCGATAAAGAAAAGATAAGATGCTAGAATCTTTAAATGTAGGCTACAAATATCATATGATGTTTCGATGTTGTACTGCATAAAGATTTCATGCATGCACATAGAGCTTTTTTTTTTTCTTAGGTTTCCAATACCTGGTTA